TTGACGAGCTGTCATGACGATCCGATATCGGGCCATCTAGGTATCCGAAAGACAATCGCTCGAATAAAACAACGGTACTACTGGCCTAAGATGATAAATGACGTTAAACGCCACGTGAGGACTTGCCTTGTTTGTCAAGCCTATAAGCCTGAACAAAACAAACCTACGGGAAAGATGTTCTTCCGAAGACCCACTGGGCCATGGTACACAGTAACCGCAGATTTAGTGGGGCCGTTACCTAGATCCAAGAAAGGTTCAAGATATTTATTAGTTGTCCAAGACGTTTTTACCAAATGGATAGAACTAGCCCCGCTTAAGACCGCCACGGCACTGACAGTGTCGAATGCATTTCGAGAGTTAGTTCTGTTAAGATTTGGAGCCCCAGAAAGTATCATTACGGACAACGGTTCCCAGTTCACGGCCCGCTTGTGGAAAGACTTGTTGAACAGTTGGGGTATCGAACACCAACTGACTGCACCATATTCGCCACAAGAAAACCCGGTCGAAAGATCTAACAGAGTGGTAAAAACCATGATAGCCCAGTACATAAAGAAGGATCATACCCTGTGGGATTTGTATCTTAATGAGTTTCGTTTTGCGATCAACACGGCCGTACATGATTCAACAAAATTCACTCCAGCGTTATTAAATTACGGGAGGGAACTTAGGATGCCAAATGCCTTACATGGGGCCTTGATAGAGGGGTCGGATAACCGCAATGATTTTGAAACCTCCGTCGAAGATAGATTAGCCCGTCTGCATCAAATCTTCCAGGCGTGCCATCGTAATATAAGTAGGGCTTACCAAAGCCAAGCCAAGTATTATAATTTAAGGAGACGAGAGGCCCGGTTCCGACCGGAAGAATTCGTGTGGGTCCGGCAACACCATTTGTCATCCGCGACCGATTCATTCGCAGCTAAGTTAGCCGCTAAGTATGACGGACCGTTCAAAATCATAAATAAAATTGCGAACAATATCTATGAATTACGGGATGCGAAAGGGGGGAAAGCCATCCGTGCCCATGCCCAAGATCTCAAAAGGTACGTAGCTTAGTATGTACTTGCAGAATATGCAAGGACCTCTGGAGCTGTCGCGGAATACGCAGATACTCCAGAGACTAAGGTAAGGAACACGTAGGTGTAATTTTTGAGAGTAGAGTAGTTATTGCTTAAATATTTCGCTTTGCATTAATGGGTGCTTTCGCTTGCAGGTGCATGTGCGGCTTGACAGTTTGCTATCGTATCGATCATAATCACAATTTCAATAAATTCATCTAACTCATATTCACGCATCATCCACTATGAATACCCCTTTGAGAGCCGCGGAGCCCATGTTGCCCAAACAACTCACGTGCCTCGAGGAAAACGGATTGTTGAATGGTGACGTAATTTCGGCTTATTTTCGGCTGGTAGAACGAAGATCGGTCCTCAACTCAGCCGGGGAAAAGTTATTCGCCGTTGATACCTTCTTCTTCACCTGTCTGAACCGCCGAGGTTACGCCGGGGTGAAACGGCAAATAATCGGGGTTCCACTGTTACACTTAGACCACATTGTAATCCCGGTCCATGAGCCCGAAGTGGGCAAATCAGGACACTGGTATCTCATAGATGTAGAGCCAAAGAAGTGGGCCATCAGTGCGTACGATTCGCTACCAGGTCGCCAACACCGACAAGCATTGGGGAAAATAAAAGAGTTTCTCGACGAAGTTTGCGAGAGACAAGCGGCGGCTCCTGGGAAATGGCATCTGTGGGACGGGAGATCCGCAACATCCCAGAACAACCCGTACGACTGCGGAGTTTTTGTGTGCAAGTACGCGGAGGCAATCGGACGGGGTGTATCCGTTAAGAGCGTCGACGAAGAGACAAAAAGTTTCCGCCTCAGAATGGTCCGGGAATTGTCCACCGCAAAACTTGAAGTCGAAGAGGAAATGACACTAGAAGAACTGATGGAGGAAGTCGCTAGGTTGGCCCCTCCTGTCCCAGAGATGATGTCGCCGATCCCCAGCCCGGTACAGGAGCACCTGGACGAGAGTCTGCTAGAGGCGACCCTGGATGAGATGGAAAAGGAAGAGAAGAACAAGGAAGAGCCAGATGTTGTGCCCACTCAGCCACCCCCACCCCCGACCGAAACGCCCAGCCTAAAAGTAAGGATCCCACTAACCGAATCAATAGTGTCCATTATAAATCAGTTCGGAATCCACCGTATCACGGACGCTCCAACGCAACCAATGGAGGACACGGAAGCTCCCCTTTCTCCGGCAATATCGTTGCATCCCGAGGAAGATTTAGATATCTCGTCGGACCGGGAAGAGGTGCTGCTACGAGAATCACGGATGGAAGCAGAACCGAACGAGGAATCCGCTCCGGGAACCTCCGTGCCCCAACAGCAAAAAACGGTCGGGTCAGAAAAGAACCCAGGAGAAGCAGATGCACCCCGTGATCAGAAAAGAATCCGAAGAGGTAGGAGGCGGACAATGAAAGTCTTGGTCCCCGGTACGACTACTTTCAAAAGGATAAACATCAAAAAATTGGGATTGACGCCAATGGAGAGGAAGTAAAGAAGGAGTTTTTTTTTTCTTTTTCCGTTTCTTTTTTTTTATCACTTACTAAGAAGAGAGTGTAAGGGTTTTATTTTTAGAAGGATATTATTTTAATTCGAAAGACGATTGTACAGTATTTTAGTTAGAAGACGATTTTATTTCATTTAGAAGGAAATATTGTTTTACATAAGGAGATAGTTTTATTTTTGTAAATATAAATATAATTTGAACCCGAAGGTTTATGTATTATTTCGTCAAGTATAAACACTTAGTTTATAACAGAAGAGTATTTTGTTCTTAAAACCAAGGTATATTTATTATTTCGCCGAGTATAAATACTTAATTTAAATCAATAGAATATTTTGTGTTTAAAGCCGAGGCGGGCTTTGTTGTCGTCGGGTCGTATCAGTGGTTAGGAGCGATAAGGCGCGGACGAACGCGCACCGACGAGTTGCCCGTCCAAGCGCGTTGCAACCTGCACTCCCGACCTTTGTGCTGAGGTATGGAAAATTCCTGCCCCACGGGAGGGTATATAAGGCCTAGGTACGGTGGGAGGACAGTCAAGACAGATCACTCGTGCGGTACGGAAGTAAGACGTCTTGGTGAGTTAACGGTAGCTTTTAAATTAATTTTATGTGCATAAGAATATTTTGCACTGAAATTCGACCATTCGATAGACATACGATAATTTCATGTGCATAAGAATATTTTGCACTGAAATTCAACCATTCGATAGATATACGATAGTTCTAAATTTACTTCATGTGCATAAGAACATTTTGCACTGAAATTCGACTTTTCGATAAATATAAACTCGACCTGTGCTTAAGAATATTAAGCACGGTTACTCACGATATTTTCCTCATACCGGCACCGGCTCTAGGTAATTTATTTAAGTAGTTATCTAACCGAACTACCCAGTTGGAGTACCAGGTAAGGTTAGAGTTAGTCGGGTGTGGCAGTACATGGTGCACCACTAACCCAGAGTCAGGTAAGTATAAGGGAAACGTGTGCAATAGTATATATTGCACCGCTCGGGGTTAGAATAGGCGTTAGGGATTTCGGCCCGCGTTTATTTTACCCATCGACGATATTCGGCCATCAGGGCACTAATTTAATTTAAACGAACGGTAGGGAAACGTGTGCAATAGTATATATTGCACCGTACGGTTAGGTTGCGTGTGCAATAGTTATATATTGCACCGCTCGGGGTTAGAATAGGCGTTAGGGATTTCGGCCCGCGTCTATATTTTACCCATCGACGATATTCGGCCATCGAGGCACTAACTTAAGCGAACGGCAGGGAAACGTGTGCAATAGCATATATTGCACCGTACGGTTAGGTTGCGTGTGCAATAGTTATATATTGCACCGCTCGGGGTTAGAATAGGCGTTAGGGATTTCGGCCCGCGTCCATATTTTACCCTACGACGACTTTCGGCCATCGAGGCATTATCCGGCTCGAAGGACCAATTCGGCCATCGAGGCATTATCCGGCTCGAAGGACCAATTCGGCCATCGAGGCACTAACTTAAGCGAACGGTAGGAAAACGTGTGCAATAGCATATATTGCACCGTACGGTTAGGTTGCGTGTGCAATAGTTATATATTGCACCGCTCGGGGTTAGAATAGGCGTTAGGGATTTCGGTCCGCGTTTATTTTGCCCATCGACGATATTCGGCCATCGAGGCACTAATTTAAGCGAGCGGTAGGAAAACGTGTGCAATAGTATATATTGCACCGTACGGTTAGGTTGCGTGTGCAATAGTTGTATATTGCACCGCTCGGGGTTAGAATAGGCGTTAGGGATTTCGGCCCGCGTCCATATTTTGCCCTACGACGACTTTTGGCCATCAAGGCATTATCCGGCTCGAAGGACCAAAATTCATTTCCGATCGATTACTAGGTCTGTGATAGCTGTGATGAAAAGAGTTGTATTGGAGTAAGCTTTTGCTTGACTCACACTCATTTCTGAGCTTAGACTTAGTATTTACGTAAACAATCGAACCTTGGACGAAATTACCCACGCTTCGACTGTTTTATCCGGCAAACTTTATTTGTGAGGTACGTTTTTCGACACCCCGGTAATTTTAACCTCACAACATTTACAAAAATTTTTTGGGAGAAAACGTTCAACTTGAGATACAAGGAAGTTTGTCCGCAGCTAAGGAACAATTTATCTAAATCAATGACGATGGCAGTAATGGCTTAACTGTATTTCTTCCAAGGTAAACTAGCTTCTACCCCCCTTGATTCTACAATTCAAAATCCTGGCATAGAGCCTATCCTTGAAAAAAACACATCACTATATCAGACAAGTTTAACATTCAATATTTCCAAACAACGAAATAATGTTTTTATAATTCATATGGTTCATACCACAACCATAAACAGTCTACCAAAAGTTCTAGCATCAACAAATAGCCACCATATTGTAACAACAAATATTTGTTCTTGCAGCAATAACTATGTACGAGCTCCACGCACCTTTGATGATACTGACAATCAAGCAGTCTGAGAGAGGCCACATATCTCACACTGATCTCGCCAGAAACCTGAAAAGAGTGGCGTTCTACCTGAGAGAGTGTGTCAGACTGCTGAAATTTGAGCCGAAAGGTACCCAAGAGGACTCCATCAGAACTGCAGCTCAAGAGGGCTTGGTTCAGCTCAAGAGTTGGGAACCTGCTGTAGGGAAACTGTGAATTAATCTATTTTACAAATGTCTGGACAGTCAGGGACACCCGCTGAGTGTATTTTCAGGGGGGAGCCAAACCGGTATCTCGTTTGAAGGGAAAAATCTCTTACCGCAAATAATTTTAACAAAGAATGTAATTGAAATTAAAACTGTATACTACTAGTCACTTATCCAGTGCAAATGCAATAAGTTTTTTCTAGAAGTTCTTCTTTATGTAGCTCACTGTGTTTCAAGTATTGCCAAAAGACAAAGATTGCTAAGATCTTTTGAGACCTTTCCTATAAGAATTCTTAAAAGAGGATTTTGATGATTTAATTGTTTTTATTTGTTTATGCTATTTACTTTAAATGTGATTTTTCATCAATTACACAGATCTCTGCACAAACTTAGCTATAAAACCTTAATTTTGTTGATTTTCCTAACTTTTTGTCCCCTGTTGCTGTGGAAAGTGGACCCCTGATAAAGTAAAATCACATACATCTGAGTTCTGTGGTAGCTAATGATTGTGATACAAGTGCAATATGATGAAAATCAACCAAACCTTGTAGAATGAACTCTGCTTTTAGTGTTGTCCTGAGTTATAAATTCATCTAAAAGAATATTCAAAAATTTGTATTGGAAGCTGTCACCAATGTAGTATGCAAATATTGTTGCAGGCCAGACTGAATCTTCTATGTTTCATTATTTTTAACTATCTTGTTGGTACCAGTTACTTTTTATAAACCAACACTTACAGTAACAAGAAGGGTTGTGATGTCACTATGACATCACTGAAAACACCCGATTGTAATAAATCATATTTCAATTAACCTAACTATTGACAATGTATGTTCCAAGTCACCTGCTGAAGACTTATTTGTGTCAATATAAGATTATTGAGTGCCAAAGCCAACTGTACTTTAAACTAATACATTCTAATAAAAGCTAAAATATTGACTCCGTTTACAAAATTTAGCGGTTTGAGGGGAAGCGATTTCATCTCCACCTCACCCTAACTTTGATACAACAGCCGGCAGCTGATATACATATTAAGCTAAGAAAATGTGGTGGGGGAACCCAGGTAACCTTCAGTCTTCACCTTAGACCACCTAAATTTTGAGAACGGACTATAAGGATAATATAATGTTCACTAGTTTATAATATTTCTTTAACTTTGGCCGGATATACGGTACATTTACTCTATGTTTTATCACATAATACTCTTGTCTATGTCACGTTTTCCTTTGTACTGCCACTGTCTTTGTTTTGTGTTTTTCTACGTCAATGGCATTTTTTAATATTTTATTGTAAGAGTCTATCAATGTCTGAATCATTCAAGTGATTAACACTTATTTCATTTAGTTTAATTTGGTTTATCTCTGATTTGTGTATTTTTATCATTTTTTAGATAATCATGGATGAGATAATTGTCTAATGTTTTACAAAAGGTTATTTGTTTGCACTATGGCATATGATAGTAATAAATGGAATAATAAAGAGTAACGCATTATTTCCTCTTTACTAAATCCTAGTATTGATACTTGAATAAGTTTATATTGACCTTGGTTTGGTAATGATTTTGAGATGCGACAAACTTTAACATCACTCCTAAATCACAAGCATGTTTAGTTTCAGTATCACTAATTATTGCAAAATGAGCTAAAATCACACTTTCGATCTCTTTAGGAAATTAAGGAAACGTTTAGAGACAAAAACTTAAAAAATAGACTTGAAGAACATTGGATTATAGCATAGACAAATATAATAAATATAGACCGTCAGCTGTGCTGCGGTTCTGGCGTCCACCGCTAAGTTTGCCGTGCAGTTACGAGTTACGGCGCACACCGCTGCAGCGTCTGCTGGTCTCATGACGCATACGGCTCCTGTGCTCCTCGCCTACAGTGGTGTGCGCCGTAACTACACGGCACTCCTGGCGGTGGGCGCCGGAACCATTCTTTGACAGTCTATATTTTATTCTATTTGTCTATGATTATAGTGGGTTATGTGGAAAGCAAAAAAATAAGTTTACAAAAATATTTATTCTAAAAAATTATATCACATGTCTTTGTGCTCTAGGTCTCTTATCTCTAAAATTGCAGTTTTCAGTCGTAGTTTGATAATTTCTCTCCATATTTCCTGTCGGTGATTAGAGTTGTGGATTCCAAGACGGAAAAGAGTTGATTCAGTGAGTCTGATCAACGCTCTGCCTGTGATGTCATGCTGAAAAAAATTAATCATTAAATTAAATCATTAAAAATGATTTTGTTTGAAACACAATTATTTCAAACTTCAAGAAATCATACTTGAGGCTTTTAAATATGTTTTTAAAATATTAATAACAAATATACCACATTGCAGGTCGATCAGGGACAGACAAATTCCTGCACTATGGTTTGTTCATACTGCTTGCGTCCCAAGGGTAGGCAATGTGGTATTTTCCTGCTAGGCCTATCGTAAAACAACTATTGATTTATGTGTTGTGTGTATAAGTGTAATAAACACCATCAACAAAGCAACATACATAACTTGATATGCCACATGATTGAACCGGTTTCTTCGAACTATGGTTCCTTTGTCAGTCAGCACTTTATAAGATCGTGGTGAGTTTACTTGTCGTTCACGTTCCAGATCAGATATCCAAACTTTGGTTCCTGGGTTTACATATTTGATAAGGGTCGAGCACCATGTCATCGATCGTAATTTTGTTTGTAGTTTTGTCTATAATGATTCTCCTTCTCTCAGAGATGACTGAAGCCCAGCTTTTTTTCCAGATGACATGGTAAAGTAGGCAAAATGTCCCGTAGTCTGCGTCCATATAATAACTGTAACCATTGGCAACTGGAGAGTTCCTGTAAGACATCTCTAAGGGAGTATAATCTATATTTGTTTGTGAAATAATTTTGTTAGTCAATGATATGGAAAATCACCAACTAAACATAGTTGATTGCTTTGTTCTTTCTACAGATTTCTACACAATGGGGTAAAAATTCTAAGTTAACTACAACCATATATGTCACTTAACTGCTAAACAATATTTTGGGAAAACAGGCACACAATCAAGTGTTATATGACATTTTAAACTAAACACTTTACCTGTTGAAATATTTCTCCATATAGGGGGTAGTAATCACTGCAATGTCTTCTTAGCCACTTCTGTACATCAATGACACTCCATAGGAAGACTGGTCTAGGACGAGCTGCTCGTGGCTGAATACAAAACATTACTAAGTTTAAAATTGCAAGCCTAGAGACAAATTATTTAAGTCACAGAAGCAGCAAGCCTTGTTAAACTGCAGTCTTATCACATTTTATTGATGATGCTAACAGTAAAAAATACTTAAGTAGGCCTAATAGGTATCTTATAACTTAGGATATGTTATATACAAATCTGGGCCAGACAAATCTTAGTTTTTTATTCTTATTTTTATTATTATTATTTTTATTTTATGGTAGGTAACAACCATTTACAACAAAAATAGTGTACCTGTAGCTTGAATTCGAGCAATTGCTAAGGCTACACCACGCACGCTACCGTACCAGTATTATTTTAATTGGCCAATTTTGTTAAATGTTTGTGTTTTCGTGTTCGTGTTCGTGTCTTCAACGACTCTTCACAGTTATGAAGAGGATTTATGTGTTTAGAAGGAGTTTAACCATGGTATCAGCTTGAAAATGAACCTTTAGGTTCGAAACCTGGGTCGCTGACCTAAAACACAGGATCACGGACAAATACTACAGGTATTTAACCTTTTATTAGTAAATTACGTGATTCAGAGGCTAAACATGTTGAAAATATTGATTCGATTAGTAAACCTTCATTAGATTTTTTCACTATCTATAGGCATGCACTGTGGATGCGATACTCCCCAGTGTGGATTAACGTCTGTACGGGTGAGTACTACGACTATCCGCAGTACTATCCTGATAATTAGACCAATTCGTAATTACCAAGGCAAAAATGTGGTTCGGATTCTACTAAACTGTAGGTCCCTTAGTTGCCATTAGCTGTATGGGCTATTAATTAACAGCTATGTCTAAGGAATGTCGGCCTTAGTCACTAACAAGACTACAAGATAGCGCCACTCATCTCCATTCATACTTAGCTTAAAATACCTACTTTGTATGGTCGCCATTTCATAGAACGGTATTAACAGTATTAACAGCAAGTTTGGTTAGTTAGGTTAGGTTATGGCAGTTTAATTTTATTATTGATATAGCCTAGTGTTAGTAAAAGTATTGATTACTATACGATATTTTCAATTTATATTTGTATAGCCCAGTTAAGAAACTGTATCCGTTTGGGCTCTTTCCTTGAACCTAACTCTACTGCTACTCTACTCACCTTAGGTTTGTTAGAATACACTGTTTCCTCAACCATTGCCGTTTTAAAAATAATGCACCGAATTAAGAAAATTAATATTGTTTATCTCACTTCCAATAGTATCATGACAGGGCTACCGTTTATTTAAAATCTGTGGATTTTTGTTATATTTGACATATAATAAATTTGCTCAAAACAAAGAAGTGTTATTGACACAAAGAAAAGACATTGAGAGATGACATTTGCATTTGAGAGAAGATGTTGAGACAATGACACTAAGCAGACGACAGACGAGACGACTACTACAGTCAGTGTTGCCAAGCGACAAAATTTAGACGAGAAAATAAGTCCTATCATAGATCTATGTGTAAATTATAAGGGTTATTGTAATATTATTGCAGTAAACGAGCTAGTCTTAACGGGCATTAAACTCATTGCTACAGATGTTTCGAATTATGATGACAAGTCTACATGCTGGTACCTATCTAAAGTTTTTAAAAAATACTACAGTGGGAACATTGCTATGAATTCAAGCATAAATAAAACATGCGGTTATTCCATGTTTAGAGCAAGACAATTAATTAATAAGGGGTTTAATACTAGCAGTATGTTTTATCTATGAGACTAGTGAAAGAAGTAAAATTCCGAAAAAATTCCACTTTTTTCATGGAAGTACCCGGTATAGAACGGTACCCTATACCAACATGTGCATACAATTTCGTCAAATATTAATTTTGGAATGTTTTTTTTTATCAAAGAACTACAGACTACAAATAAAACGAGCTATATAAATGATATAAAATTATTTATTAATACGTGTTTTTATAGTACTGTTTTGAAGGCTTAAATGTGTTTAAAAATACCAGAAACTAAAAACAGCTGATTGATTACATTTTCTTCCATGGCCACGTTGGAAGACACTGTTGTATTTTAGGACGTAAGCACTTCTGTCATCCGACATCCCAATTAAAGGTATGATGCTGTCAATTGATTTGTTTAGAAATTATATTCTTATCGCTTAGTTATTCTACTTATAATGGTTTAGGTATCTTACTTGTAAAATAAATTAAAAATTATTTGATGAATTAAGGTTAAGGTCATAAGCTTGCCTACACTATGTGCTTAGACTAGGCTACCATAATTCTGCCGGCAAACTGTTTGGTCTTGAGTTATTTAAGCCCATTTAAGTTCTTCCCTTTCTTTTATCCTCTGACAAAAATTTCTTGATCTGCTTTCCTTTGAACTAGCCCTTTTCTAAGGATATTCAAGTCTTCTTAGAGTCTTTATAATTGTCCAAGGGGGTGTGTTACTTTAGCCATATAAAACAGCATTCCTGCAATTCTGTATGACATAAATTCTTTATTCTTGTCAGCAGTGTTTACATAGGTCTAAATTAAGATGACAAAAACAACTGATGGACTCGTAAAAAGATTTTAAGGTAGAAAGGGCTACATAATGTTAATAAAATCCCAAAACAACACATTACTGTAAGTCATGGAATTATTAATTTCATTACAGAAAATAAAATTTAAACTAGTGAATTAAAATCATCCTTATTTCCTCCCATGAAGGAATGTTTCAACTACAAAAGGTGAAACTTTACCATTTCTTAATTACATTTTACGAAGAGGATACACGTTTGGTAACCGGATGTGGATTAGGCGTCCGGCAGTTACTGTCATAACCTAACCTAACCAACCAAACTTGCTGATGATGAAAAAATTGAATGAAGGTTAAATTCTCTTCATAAAATAAAAAATTATAGGCTAAATGCCGAAAATTCTAACAAAAGATGTAGCCTACAGTTAAGAAGAAATGGCATTCAAAGCAAAATCTTGGACAAAACGTTTAAGTTACCTATGGGATTCAAACCTAAGACCTCTTGCATATCAGCCGAGCGCTCTATCCACTAAAAATTTACCTACTAAGTTAGTTATTAAAAGTAGAGCGCTAACTTACATTTGTGTTTTAAAACTTAAAGATTTAATTTTTAATTTCAGTCAAGATGAAAATAAAGGAGCTGGACAAAACTGTTAACCTGGCCTGGTCGCCAGCCGGCCAGTCATCTATCATGCTGGCGGCAGGCACGGCAGCACAACAGTTGGATGCTTCATTTAGTACTTCAGCTACACTAGACATTTATGGACTTAACTTGGAAGAACCGGGCCTTGATTTGGAGTTGAAATCCAGTATACAGAGCCAAAATAGGTAGGCCTTAAGTTTTGCCATGTTACTATTAAGTAGAATCTTTTGTCTGAGTTTGTGTTGCACTGTTTGGTTATAATATTATCCAGCGAGCAAATATTCCTTGCTCCCTGATATTATGTTACGGTATTTAGGTTTACTTTATCATTCTTAAAATAATTACAATAAGCCTACACCAGTAGACTCTTTTATTTGTAAGATATTTTGGAGTGTCACTTGTGCATGACTCATAGGCTACTTTTACCGAAACTTGGCTTAGTTGGTACACACGTAAAAGAAACAACATATAACCAGTTGGTCTTGCACTGTTTAGTAGGTACAGATTTCCCTGCTGGTTTCCTTGTTCTTAGGTAATGTATGGTTTTGAAACATATTCAAATGGTCATTTTTATCTGTGCTAAGGCCTGATCACAAGCTGTCCTAAAGAGAAGGAGTGAACAGTTTTGTTGTCCTTTGATTTAAAGTTATCTCTAAAATGATTAAATGGTAGGTGAAATACAGTAGGATTATATAGGTGAAGTAGCGTACTTATTTGTAAACCTTGTGATGTTGAAGGTTCCACAAGTTGGTGTGGGGCTCGTGTGCCGGAGGAGTGATTGTGGGAGGTTGTGACAACGGTCGTCTGCAGATGTACAACTCGGGGCGAGTGTTGGCTGGGGACGACGGACTACTCTGCGCTCCCGAGAGACACACTGGACACGTCAAGGCTATTGACTTCAACTCATTTCAGGTTAGTTTGGTAAATCTTTGCCACTGTTGTAAACATAGTGTAAAGCCACAGCAATTAGAGCAAGTACTTACTCTATGCACTTATCACTTGGAACGCTACTCACTATGGTCCAAGTCACTTTACATCTAATCTTGGTAAGCTATAGTTGTAGCACTAACTAACATATTTGACATAATAGTTAAACAGCCACGATGAAAAACTTGAAGCTCTCAATCCTCACTAAAAACGATAGTGTAAATATTTACCATTAAAAAGCGAGAAAGACGTTTATAGAACCAAAATTTAAATAACCCAAAACACTTTGCTTGTTTTCTTCAACTTACCGTATCAACAGAGTTGTGTTGGTTGTAGTTTACTGGTCTTCAAGAAGACTATTAACTAGTTTTGCTTGATAATTGTTAAACTTATAGGAGGAGTTACTTAATATAATATAAATCTTCTATGACTCTTGTTACACATTCTCAATAATTTATTATAGAAAAGAATGTCAAATTTATATGTCAAAATATTTACTTTGACCGTGTATGCCTATTTTTTAATAAGGTAGAACCCCTCTTATCCGACCTTGACGGGACCAGACCATGGTGGGAACGGCCAAAAGGTCAGATATCGGGAGGAGCATATATCTTGTGCTCTCGGTGACACCAATAATTGTTGTCTGCGATCCTGGCAATACCCGTGAACATACCTGCGGTCATGGCAACACCGGTAATCGTCTCTTGCGATTGCGGCATCACTGATAAAGATATCTCAAGGTCACGGCAATATCGGTAATCATCTCCTAGAGGTCGTGCGGAACGAGGTGAAGCCTGAGATTTTCGGCGGGAACGGTCTAAAGTGGGGAAATCCATGGTGGGGGTAGGAGATGAGCCGATCGTCGCCTCGCATAGCGACACTTCCCCCGCCACACCACTATTCCCCTCCAAGCTTCACCTCGTTCCGTATGACCTCTACAATCGCGGCATTACCCGTGAGGATATCTTGCGGTTACGGCAACACCAATAATCGCCTTCTGCAACCGCGACAACATCCGTGAGCATATATCTTGACAGCAATGGTTGTCTGTCGTGATTATGGCAATACCCATAATCGGCAACACTAGGTCAGGGAGTCGGTTATGCTGATGTCGAATATGAGGGGTTCTACTGTAAAAGATTTTCTCTTCTTTAAAACCTTCTTTAGCCTAGGCCTATTGTATTGTCTGTCAATAAGGCAGTTTATATTCATATACGAGGTAGCCTAACTAATTTCTTTCTGCAATTGTTAACAGACAAACTTATTATCGAGTGGTGCCTCTGATAGTGAAATATTTATCTGGGATTTGAATAACGTGAAAACTCCGATGACACCTGGAGCCAAGTCTCAGCCTGCGGAGGAAGTCATGTGCTTGGCTTGGAACAAACAAGGTCAGTGTAGACTCAGGAAATGAAATGAACAAATTTTGTTTTAAAGTTCACTCTTGATAATCTGACACTAATGACACTGGAAGAGTCTGGGATTGATTAGCATAAATAGTTTAGCCTATAAGTTGTGAACATTTCTTTATAATACTTCTTCAATATAAAGGAAACAAAAACTATCCAGTTTAGGTGGTATTAAAAACAATTTTTTATACAAAAGCTATTTGATTTAGCTTAGTAACTATTTTTAATGTAGGTACATATATTCACTTACCAGGTAGGCCTACTATTATCTTTGAATATCAATACAACAATACAAATTTTGATGACAAATTGGCTACAGCTGTTCGATATACATGGGAAGTCTACTTTAGTATACAATAGTCAATGTTATTATTATTATTGTGATTAGTCATTTATCATTGCGGTGAACTACTGAGTATGTTATAGGATATCAAATTATTTTTCCCTACAGTTACATGACACAGTGGGCTTCCTTGCACTGATTATAACACGCAAAGTAGCTTATTGCTGCATTTACTTACTTTTGCGGCACTAATTTTACTTCCTCGCAATATTTTTTTATTTTTCTGCACTCCAGTATTCCAACCAATCAACACAAACGGAGTGCTTTTAAACTAGGCACGTAATAAGTTTAGGCTTGAAAATAAGTTAGCACCGCAACACTTAAAGATACTAAGATCAGCTGGTGCAGCATTTCCCAGCCTTTGACTATTCATACTACCTGTTGTTTCGTGTCAACATTCTATTTTCGTTCAACGCTTGGATTTAACCTACCAAATTTAAAACTTGTCGTTTAGTTCTGAAAGAATGTGTTTGTAACGGTAGGCAAATTTTAATGTGTAACGCGAGTGCATAGTGCCTTTCCTGCACTCGAGAAACTTTCTGCACTTTCGCAATCACATGTACAATTAGTCTTGGTGGCAAAAATGTTTAAATAATCACTAGATACCTAGCCTATTTAAGTCATTTATTATTCTGGGTTCATGAATAACTTGCTTTTTAACCAGGATTTTGTTCGGATTTTAAACACTACACCTTTACTCTATTATTACAAATAACATACACTATTTACAAATTTGAATATCACACTGGCACGTTATTTTAAACCGAGGAAGGTTTGAGTTGGGAATGGAAATGTCTTTCATGTACAGTAGACTCTTGATAATTCGAAATTGGTGGGCCAAGCATATAAATTTGAATTATCAAGAGTTTTGAATTATCAAGAGTTCGATTTATCGGGAGAAAAATAAACCATTCGAATTACAGAGAGTTCATTTTTAATACATACAAAGGTACAGCACGTTACAATAAAACATCATACTGTACCGCATTTTAGTACACTTTTAAACAATCAACGGGTTATTTTTCAGTTACTTTAGTTGCAAAGAAGTCTGTTATTTAGCGCTATATATTTCGCCAATAGCTGAACTATCAGCTGTCGACAACTACGTTTGTGCTCAAGGAGATGTCGCGCAATCTAGAGATCGGATTGCAAACTTAGAAAAACAAGTCAGTGAACTAACTCAGACTACTGCTCCGCTACTGCTCTAACTAAACAAACATCAAAACGTCCAACACTAGCCTACCATAGGAACAGGATGTACTGTACTGTATAGTTTCCTGTTATAACAGGAAGAGATCACTTCGAATTATAGAGTGTTTTGCCGACTAAACTTCGAATTACTGCGTGACTTTGATTTATAGAGTGTTTTTTTCGACGAAACTTCGAATTACAGCATGACTTCGAATTATAGAGTGTTAACCGACGAAACTTCGAATTACTGAGTTACTTCGAATTATAGAGTGTTTTTCCAACGAAACTTCGAATTACTGCGTGTTACAAATTGACCTGCCCTCTATTTGGACTTTGAAATACCGAGTGTATCAAAATGCATGGTAAAAATTTGAAATATTGAGAGATTCTCTAGGGACTGAGCCTTCATTTTGAATTATCGAAAGTTTTGAATTATCAAGTGTTTGAATTACCAAGAGTGGACTGTATTTCCTTCCCTTTTCATATGAGTATGCTAGCCTAGCTATAATTCTTAAATTTTAGACCCTTGTTCTCTACATTATTCTTACTTCAATTTTAGTGATTAGATAATTCATTGAAGCATTTATTTTCGTCACAGATTAAAATCCACTGAAGTGTTTTTAACAAGTGAAAACCCCTACATATTACTCCTTAGTTTTAGCGCTTTATAAATGCTGATATGTTTTACAATATGATATTTTTTCAGTTCAACACATCCTGGCTTCGGCCTTCGCCACTCGCTGTGTTGTGTGGGACTTGAGAAAGAATGAGCCAATCATCAAACTTAGTGACAGCAATTCAAGGGTTTGTGATCTAAATCCAAAATATCTCTTTGTAGATAAAATGTTTTACTGTATAGCTATCATACAATCTTTAAATAACTACTGATGATATTATTTTATTGTGGTTGTGCTTATCACATTGTATGTAGGTAATGTATTGGAATTGTAATTAAAGAGATAGGAATACTGAAGGATTGAGAAGATGACCATTAGTTATTTTATTAGGTTACAAAGTTATATTAAAAATATTAACAAGATATAATTCTTATTATAGATATAATTATTCAGAAAAGATATTTGCTCGTACTAGTGAATAGCCTAATTATTGACAATGTCGCTTTCTCCAAACCATAGGTTGTTATTATAAGTAGTTTGTCAGTTACCAAAAGTTGTTGTCGTTTCTTGTTCTGTTATTAGGCTATTCGAAAAAAATCCAAGGGGAGAGGGTATTGCATTCTTAAACAAAGGTAGTTTTAATAAATATTTCCCTCTGTAAACATTACTATTGATTACATGTCAGGTGCGGTGGAAAGATGTTGCTTGGCATCCGGATATAGCCACACAGCTGTGCCTGGCCTCTGAGGAAGACTCCAACCCTGTCATACAACTGTGGGACTTGCGCTTCGCCACCACGCCAATCAAGACCTTCGAGGGACACCAGAAGTATGTTTAGGCCTTTAATAGTGTTGTAGGAAAGGAAATTAACATGATCAGTACGGTAACTAAGAAATCCTATGCACAGATATAAGTTAAAATACAAATTTACAAATTCAGTTGGCACTCAACAATCCGTTACTCAATAGTCTGAAACACTCAGCAAGCTGACTGCGCTGAACTCGTCATTCACCGATGTAAAAAGTACTGGAATTATTTCTGTGTTCAGTTCAGTTTCTTGTGGCTTCCAGTCTGGTTCCACAATTCTTGCAGTCAACTAGAATATATTACTATGCTTTGCTTGTTTGTTTCTTGTTTGTCAGTTGATCATAGTGTGTTGTAACCTTTTAAGTTTCAACTAAGCGTATATATTTAGCCTAGTCGTTAAAATACATTACAATATAGGCTCGGTTATATTTAATTTTGTTCAGACATATGGTAGGCCTGTAGAGCTGTACTTGATGGTTAATAACTTACTTACTCTTATACACGATGGTTAATAAACTAAATACTAATGGTTTTTGTTCAATAAATATACAGTATAGTTTTTCTATAAAATAATGCATAAAATGATTATTTGAATCCCTACTAGTTAAAGAGTACCTTCATTGTAAGGCATCATAAGTTGGGTTCCCCCAGCTTATAAGTTAGTTGTAGTATTATTTTAAGTGAACTGACGTTTTCTGACATTCTCTTGGTACTAAGTGCTATGAACCATCTAGTGGCCTTGATAGTGTCAAGTTGTAATGACAATGTTATTTGTTCTCAGAGGGGTGTTGTCGATTGCTTGGTGTGCGCAAGACCCAGAACTCCTGGTCAGTTGTGGCAAGGACAGTCGTATCCTCTGTTGGAACCCTGCAGCAGCTCAACAGGTACTATAGAGATATAGTGGACAGTTCAAATGTCAAATACAACAAAGTATAACAAAGTATTTATTTCATACCCTAACTCAGAAATTTTAATTAAATTAAATATTGATGTTTAAAAAAATACATGGTATTCCAATGTCAAAACTTAGGAATGTAGCAAATCCGTTAGTTTGTTATTGTAATCTCTGACTTGAATGAACAAACTAGAATTTTTCAAAATAGATTTTTTATAATGTATTAAATTTAGTAAAAAAGTACTTTTTGGTGTGATTTATTTTCTTTTTAAAACAGACATTTAGAATTAGTACAATAATTTTTACGATTAATCAGCTGTTTTAAAGTTTTATTCATACTACACACAAAACCTAACCTAATCTATGGTTTTCACATGTGCTTAAGACAAAAACTACAGAACAATAAAAATATTTCAATTACAGTTATATTTTTTGCAGGATGCTAGGCACGAGCCCAGAATTGTTTTTCAAATTACTCCAGGCTAGACCTAGGGGTTGCGGCAGTATCCGTTAGATAAAATCCATTGGTGATTTGTTGGGATTTGAACCCGGGATCTCAGGGACTGAAGTCCCACATTCTAACCTTTAGACCAGCTTGCTCCCCGCTATTTCACTTACAGTGACAGTATAGGTTTGGCTGGTAAAAAGAAGACTTCATGTGCTTCCCTTGGTTGAAAATGCTGTCAGTGACGGTGAACATTTTTAGTTGTGTACAGTGTAAAGCTTATGTGTTTCTTGTGGCTTGCCTGCTATGTCGACACAAATATTTAAAACCTAGGCCCTGGTGACTTAATTGTACATGTCTCACCTAAAAGTGTATCCGAGTAACTTCAGACGTTTACCCTAGTATTGTTGGACAGGGAGACGAGATAGTGTGTGAGCTGGTGACAAGCAATCAGTGGAACTTTGAGGTCACTTGGTGTCCTCGCAACCCGAGTCTCATAGCTACGTCCAGCTTCGACGGCCACGCCAGCGTCTTTACTCTGGTGGGTGGCCAACAGCAGATGCAGACAACCAACAAGGTAACAAAACCATATTGTAAGAGTTGTTGTTGGAGCCATGCAAGAGAATGGGATGAAATGTAATAAAATTGTAATTTAAGGATGTTTGCTTCTTATTTTGTTTGGTGTTGCTAACACTTTTTGAGTCCAATAATATTGTTATTTTCTTTATTTTTGCCTATTTCCATCATAAGCCCTAAACCTGGCCGGAGACAGCTTAGTCATTGATCATACCTAATAGTCTATCGCATTTCCCTGTTTAAAAACCCAAATGGTTCTATAATTGACTCATTACATTTCAGTCTCAGCTTTTAATTGTACTTGCAAAGCAGTTTAAGAGGAGTATGGAAGTATTACGGCTACTCTTGATGTCCGATACCAATACATTTGGATTCCCTAAAGGTTAATGTTCTTCATACAGATTTTCTCCAAAAATATCCAAAATGTTAAATGGTTCTACAGTATATTCAGTGATAGTGGGCTAGTGGTAGAATATTAGAAGCAGCTCTCGGGTTACATTGAAACTGAAGGTTTTTCTACTCAGATTGCAGACTCGTTCCCAGGAATGGATCAGTTTGCAGAGGCACCTGTAGTTCAGCCTCCGCAGCATTCTCACGTCGCCGTGGAACTTCGTAAGGCTCCCAAGTGGCTCAAACGGCCGGTCGGAGCTTCTTTCGGGGTAAGATATAAGTTTGCATTTTGCATTGTAGTTTGACATGATGATAAATTCATTTTGATTATGGAACTCTAAGGAATTATTCATAGCCATATTTCTAAAACGCATTAATACCTTAGAAATTTTAAATTTAATCTGAAAAAAAAACTTTCTAATTATGTCAGACCCAACAGTTTTTTCTTGTGCGAAATTGCTTCTACTTCTTTTCCATTCTCACTGAAGGAAAATTTCAGTAAATTTTAATCTTATTGTTCTATAAACAATTGAATAATAAACTTTAGTTAATTGTCTGCTGACATGATGTTCAGGGTGGTGCAAAGTTAGTGCATGAATTTCAAACTATTTTAAATGAAATGAGTTTATTTTTACCATAGATGAAATCAACTTACACCCTTACAATATGTAGTTCATCCAGTTCATGAGTTTCATTTTTCTTTTAAAAGATAATTTCAGACCGATGACAATTTTGTTCATCCATTCATATTAAAAGTAATTCTTAAAAGTTTAAGTTATCCATTACTTTCTTTCAAGTTTTTTGCCATTTCTTTGTGTATTGCAACTCTCAAATCCTTTTGTGGGATTTGCACTGAGGACTACCAAATGACTATATAATTCATGATGACACACTTAGTTTTTCTAAGAATATAATAATATCTTTTAACCATACTTACATCCCCACCACTTATACTACTCAAATGAAATCCAAGCGTTCTTTTTGCACCGGCCTTTATATTTTCAATACACTGAATAATTATTGGGTTATTAAATTGTAAATGGTGGTGCACAGTTTGGTGGCAAGCTGGTGACGTTCAGTGGTGCAGAGGGAGGCGCAGTGCACGTCTCTCAGGTGGTGACAGAGCCCACTCTGCTGGAGCGGTCGTGTCGTCTGCAACAGCTGTTGTCTTGTGGTCAGCTGAAGGACATCTGTCACAGCAAGAGTGACCCGGTGTGGAGTTTTGTGGCGGCCAGTCTAGAGCCTGACTGTCGTACGGCCATGCGCACTCTGCTAGGCTTTACTCAGGAACAACTAGAGGTACGTCAGAAGTGTTATATAACTAGCATTGACGATATATATTCATATAGGGACCTGAAATGTTGTATATGACAGAAAAAGTTTTCAACCCTTTGCGCTTGGTTAGCCAGTCGGTCGTAAACAGTGCAGGATTTTTTAGATCAGCTATCTTAACCAGTATTACACTCATTGTGGTTCATGCCAGTACTATTCGTTTTGTTTTTAATATCAGCACAGCAGACATAAAGACTATATTTTGTGTACAAAACATTTTGTTTTTTTGGCTAGTGCTGCTCATGTGTTCTGAGTATTTTTATTTTGGTAGGTACCCAAGAAATTTTTTTTTCACACCAGGTTTTTCCTGACTCCTAATAAATATTTGGGGTTGATTTAGAGTAATTGATTCATTAACATGAGTTGAACAAACTAATCTGTGTTTTTGATTATCGACTTTGGTAGTTGTATCTGAATTTACATCCAGCCAAGTAAAGTCAACAGCAAAACCAATATCTCCTAGTTCGGAAACCCAGTCCAAACGATTTATCAGTAAAACGCTGACGCTGCGTATGCACTCTGTGTGGAGCAACGACCGGCAATAGGGAAGTGCGCAGTCGTTATTTAGATTTTGTTGGGTGAAAACATGTGGCCGTCCCTTCCAATGTATTTCCATTTCTCAATTCGGTTAACTTCAACATTCAAAATTAAAACGTAAAACTTAAATTGCACGTAATCATATCTTGAAGTTTTAATTTGTGCTTTCAACAAAATAAATAATTTTATTTTCCTGATATTGCTTAGTTTTGTCTTAAACCTGACGTCACCACTTTTCCTGTGACAACTATAGAAGCAGCTGGGACAATCAATGAGACATTTACCCGAGCTGCTGTGCAAAAGAACTCAAGCCAGTACACAGCTGGAACTGATTTGTACATTCTAAAAATAGTCTTTCTGTTTGCAAAAGGTTAGATACAAGTTTAAAGTCTAGTCTTTATGACAATAACCAATAACATGTTTACTATTCTAAGCTGCTGGAACGAATCTTCTCTGTATTACTGGGTACTGGGCTCTATTTACCAAGAGTCTGTAATGAGAAACAGTTTATAGGTTTTTGTTTTATAAATGACTAGCTGTACCCGCGGGCTTTGCCCCGTTTAACTTCATATGTGAGCTCGTTCGCACGGCTCAATCACGTCCTGGTTGAAGTTCGTTCGCTACGCTCACTCACCTTTACGGTTGGAGCTCGTTCGCTGCGCTCACTTGCCTTCAGGTTAGCTCGTTCGCTACGCTAACTCGCCTCCGGGTTGAAGTTCGCTCGCTACGCTCACTCACCTTTTGGTTGCAAATTAGCTGTTGTCATTAATTTAAAAAAAATAATAGTGCTGCACTCTGTTGGTAATCCTTGTAACTTTAATGCTATTGAATATCACAGAACAGAACCAACTTGTTAAATTGAAACAGCTGTTATGATTCATTAATTCCATTTAAATATGAGTACTCATTAGGTTAACATGGGAAACTCCAGAGCCACTGGGGCGGAGCCCGAGAGTCCGATCAGAATAAAAACCACTTAGTTTTCCTATTTAATGCCTAAAGAATCAGTGTACCAAATTTCAGCCTCCTAGGTAAGTGGGAAGTGGGAGAATTAGTGATGAGTGAGTGAGTGAGTCAGTCAGTCAGTCAGTCAGTCAGTCAGTCAGTGAGGGCTTTGCCTTTTATATATAGATATAGATTCTTTAATTGTCAATATATCGTTGCTGCTTATTTGTAGTATATATATATTATTTTAATTTCAGTTGAACAAATACATTGGACAACCAGTAAATGCCAAGTTGGGTGATATTGATGGAGCTGAGGACTTTTCAGTTTTATCTCAGGTAGGAACTATTTTAATCTAAACATTACTTTGGGTTGTTTAATGGTTATATTGCTAATAATGGTAATGGTTTTGTACTAATTAGTAGGTTACCATTTTTATTTTTAGAGAAAAAAATACAATTTTGGATGGTTAAAAAAAATTAAACTGTGATTTTAGAGCTTTAATCGATGAACCGGGCTAAATAAATGAACTGATTCTAAGCTATGCCAGGTATTATTCAGTCACCTTTATTTTGACTCTTTCACAGTTTTATTTTTATAATAAAAATTTGTATTATATTTAATTTTTAAACAATTATTTTGTGCTGTTTTTATGCTTGCTTCCTTTTTTATATGATGGATTTTGTTTGTTTCAGGATGGATCTGATGACGAAGTAAGACTGATGAACAACTCGTCGTCTGTAAGTTATCAGTTTAGTCATAGTCATGTGTTACAATTTTTGGCAGAAAGATATTTATTTTGTATACAAAAGTAGTTATAATAAGTTATCCGAAATAAGACATAGATCCCAGGCACCACTCTGTTGATTTTGAAATTTAAAATGTCGTTAGGTTGTCAATTATAAGCATTTGTGAAGTGTCTTTTATTTTAACTTGATTATTAGAACACTTTCCAACCTGTATGTATTTACATTATAAAAGAATATGGCAATGAAAAATCAAATAAGTAGTAAAAAATAAAATAAATAAATAAACTACTTTATTGAAATTAATGCAGGCTAAACAAGTTTGATAATGTAATTAATTTGAATTTATCTGATTTCAGGGTCTAGATTCATTTAACATTGTACAAAAGAATGTGAACCAGTTCAACTCATTCAGTAAATCTGAAGAAAATTCCTTTGAGAAAAAATCTCCATTCAAAATAAAAATTGGAGAAGGTAAGTGTATATGTTATACTGCCAATAAATTTACAATTGGAGATGTCTTTTGCACACTATTATCTAAATGTCAACACATTTTCAAATAATTGCAAACATTAAATCAATGCCTTTTTGGACTACAAGAATTGAGGGTAGGGCAAACTTTCTGCTCTGAAATATGACTGGTCTTCCCTGCAAAAATTTACAATATGACCCTCGAGGAAAAAAAAGTTGGAGTGATGATATTTTTAAATAGTCTCATAACTAACTAAAACATGAAGTGTGATTGTAGAGGGTTTGTTGACAGACAAGGAGGGTGTGATATGTAGAGAACTGCTGGCTGATAACCTGGAGCTGGCTGTAGATCTGTGTGTACAGGAGGGTAGAATGACAGACGCTATCATACTGGCACATACAGTAGGACCTGACATACTAGCTGCTACTGATACTGACTGTGTTATGTTGACAGACAAGGAGGGTGTGATATGTAGAGCACTGCTAGCTGGTAACCTGGAGCTGGCTGTAGATCTGTGTGTACAGGAGGGTAGAATGACAGACGCTATCATACTGGCACATACAGCAGGACCTGACATACTAGCTGCTACTGATACTGACTGTGTTATGTTGACAGACAAGGAGGGTGTGATATGTAGAGCACTGCTAGCTGGTAACCTGGAGCTGGCTGTAGATCTGTGTGTACAGGAGGGTAGAATGACAGACGCCATCATACTGGCACATACAGTAGGACCTGACATACTAGCTGCTACTGATACTGACTGTGTTATGTTGACAGACAAGGAGGGTGTGATATGTAGAGCACTGCTGGCTGGTAACCTGGAGCTGGCTGTAGATCTGTGTGTACAGGAGAGTAGAATGACAGATGCTATCATACTGGCACATACAGCAGGACCTGACATACTAGCTGCTACTGATACTGACTGTGTTATGTTGACAGATAAGGAGGGTGTGATATGTAGAGCACTGCTGGCTGGTAACCTGGAGCTGGCTGTAGATCTGTGTGTACAGGAGGGTAGAATGACAGACGCTATCATACTGGCACATACAGCAGGACCTGACATACTAGCTGCTACTGATACTGACTGTGTTATGTTGACAGACAAGGAGGGTGTGATATGTAGAGCACTGCTGGCTGGTAACCTGGAGCTGGCTGTAGATCTGTGTGTACAGGAGGGTAGAATGACAGACGCTACCATACTGGCACATACAGCAGGACCTGACATACTAGCTGCTACTGATACTGACTGTGTTATGTTGACAGATAAGGAGGGTGTGATATGTAGAGCACTGCTGGCTGGTAACCTGGAGCTGGCTGTAGATCTGTGTGTACAGGAGGGTAGAATGACAGATGCTATCATACTGGCACATACAGTAGGACCTGACATACTAGCTGCTACTGATACTGACTGTGTTATGTTGACAGACAAGGAGGGTGTGATATGTAGAGCACTGCTGGCTGGTAACCTGGAGCTGGCTGTAGATCTGTGTGTACAGGAGAGTAGAATGACAGACGCCATCATACTGGCACATACAGCAGGACCTGACATACTAGCTGCTACTGATACTGACTGTGTTATGTTGACAGACAAGGAGGGTGTGATATGTAGAGCACTGCTGGCTGGTAACCTGGAGCTGGCTGTGGATCTGTGTGTACAGGAGGGTAGAATGACAGACGCTATCATACTGGCACATACAGCAGGACCTGACATACTAGCTGCTACTGATACTGACTGTGTTATGTTGACAGACAAGGAGGGTGTGATATGTAGAGCACTGCTGGCTGGTAACCTGGAGCTGGCTGTAGATCTGTGTGTACAGGAGGGTAGAATGACAGATGCTATCATACTGGCACATACAGCAGGACCTGACATACTAGCTGCTACTGATACTGACTGTGTTATGTTGACAGACAAGGAGGGTGTGATATGTAGAGCACTGCTGGCTGGTAACCTGGAGCTGGCTGTAGATCTGTGTGTACAGGAGGGTAGAATGACAGAGGCTATCATACTGGCACATACAGCAGGACCTGACATACTAGCTGCTACTGATACTGACTGTGTTATGTTGACAGACAAGGAGGGTGTGATATGTAGAGCACTGCTGGCTGGTAACCTGGAGCTGGCTGTAGATCCGTGTGTACAGGAGGGTAGAATGACAGACGCTATCATACTGGCACATACAGCAGGACCTGACATACTAGCTGCTACTGATACTGACTGTGTTATGTTGACAGACAAGGAGGGTGTGATATGTAGAGCACTGCTGGCTGGTAACCTGGAGCTGGCTGTAGATCTGTGTGTACAGGAGGGTAGAATGACAGAGGCTATCATACTGGCACATACAGCAGGACCTGACATACTAGCTGCTACTGATACTGACTGTGTTATGTTGACAGACAAGGAGGGTGTGATATGTAGAGCACTGCTGGCTGGTAACCTGGAGCTGGCTGTAGATCTGTGTGTACAGGAGGGTAGAATGACAGACGCTATCATACTGGCACATACAGTAGGACCTGACATACTAGCTGCTACTGATACTGACTGTGTTATGTTGACAGACAAGGAGGGTGTGATATGTAGAGCACTGCTGGCTGGTAACCTGGAGCTGGCTGTGGATCTGTGTGTACAGGAGGGTAGAATGACAGACGCTATCATACTGGCACATACAGTAGGACCTGACATACTAGCTGCTACTGATACTGACTGTGTTATGTTGACAGACAAGGAGGGTGTGATATGTAGAGTACTGCTGGCTGGTAACCTGGAGCTGGCTGTAGATCTGTGTGTACAGGAGGGTAGAATGACAGAGGCTATCATACTGGCACATACAGCAGGACCTGACATACTAGCTGCTACTGATACTGACTGTGTTATGTTGACAGACAAGGAGGGTGTGATATGTAGAGCACTGCTAGCTGGTAACCTGGAGCTGGCTGTAGATCTGTGTGTACAGGAGGGTAGAATGACAGACGCTATCATACTGGCACATACAGCAGGACCTGACATACTAGCTGCTACTGATACTGACTGTGTTATGTTGACAGACAAGGAGGGTGTGATATGTAGAGCACTGCTGGCTGGTAACCTGGAGCTGGCTGTAGATCTGTGTGTACAGGAGGGTAGAATGACAGACGCTATCATACTGGCACATACAGCAGGACCTGACATACTAGCTGCTACTGATACTGACTGTGTTATGTTGACAGATAAGGAGGGTGTGATATGTAGAGCACTGCTGGCTGGTAACCTAGAGTTGGCTGTAGATCTGTGTGTACAGGAGGGTAGAATGACAGACGCCATCATACTGGCACATACAGTAGGACCTGACATACTAGCTGCTACTGATACTGACTGTGTTATGTTGACAGACAAGGAGGGTGTGATATGTAGAGCCCTGCTGGCTGGTAACCTGGAGCTGGCTGTAGATCTGTGTGTACAGGAGGGTAGAATGACAGATGCTATCATACTGGCACATACAGCAGGACCTGACATACTAGCTGCTACTCAGTACAAGTACTTCCAGGTATTTACTGTGTTTTGAGGCTGTGAAATAGATTTGAGTTGAAATAGTAGCTTGTGTGTGAGTTATAATAAGCTATAGATGTGCAAGTTGCTCGATCTTTGAGTTGAGTCTAGCCTAAAATCTTAAGTGATCAAGCATCAAAGCAGAAAATCAAGCAATTGAAAATGCACAATCACCGCTACAGTGGGTAATGTGTATGATGCCTCCACAAACTCTGAAGTTGATTATGTCATCACGGTCATTAATGCATTCATTCTTGCAGATGGTAGTACTGACAAACAAAATAAATTTGAGATCGCAGAGCCATCTCCCAATTTATTAACTTGAGGACAAGATCCTTGTGTCCTCACTCCCTGATGGTTGGAACAAATCCCATCTCGAGAAAATCCCTTCCAAACAGTTTTGCTGTACAAATTTTATATTTAGTTTAAACTGTTTATTTAGTTATGTAAAATGATGCAAAGTAGGGTATTTCACACAGCTATCCTAGTCCAAATTCCAAAACAAAAAATTTCATTTCAGAAAAATACTAACCAATCTAAAAAATTGAAAAAGGTTTTTCCTATTAACTAAAATTGTACCTATGTTATTAGATTTTTGAAATTGTGCTCACAGCAAAACCAGAACTACCTGAGCCAGCTGTTGTCGGCTGTGGTGACCAAGGACTGGACCCAGGTTGTGTCTGCATGTGATCTCAGCAGCTGGGCCGAGGCTCTGGCGGCCATCCTCACCTACGCCTCCGACGACCAACTGCCTCACCTCGCTGGTACGTAGTCTGACAAAGCTTATCTTTTCAAAACCATATTTTACATTTGATATTACACAGGTTAAATTGCTGCACAGAATACCATTGTTATTTATCTACACGTTTTCCCTTCTTAGATTTCCTGTCAAATAATAATATTTAGTTTGTGACCAATTGAACTTTTAAGAAGGTGATACACTCTTGGTTACATTTTTTAAGCTGAATATGAATATAGGGTGTAGCATGGTGAGAGATGATTTGCGTAAATGTTGTTACTGACAATCAGCTGTTTCTTTAGTGTCAAAAAGTACGACGACGTGTGGCACCTTGGGGAACCTTCCTCTGACAGTCTATATTTATTCTATTTGTCTATGATGCTAGTATGTACTCTAGTAGGTTCATAGGGGTAGATAATTGTTCAGTATGGTTTTATTGCCAAAACCTATTTCATCAGTATCTTGTAAGCAATTAAAATGCCTGACAGTATGAAGCTAATGTGTTTGACATGTTGTCGCTTGTCACAGAGAGGCTGGGAGATCGTCTGGAGAGGGAGGGAGGAGCCGACAGCCGTCGCAACTCTGAGATCTGCTTTGTAGCGGCCGGACAACTTGGCCATCTCATACAGAACAGGATAGCGTCTGATTTGTCCACTGAGGCTCTACAAGTAAGTAGCACTTGACATTATTTACAATTTATGACAAACACAAATTTGTAATTTACTTTAAACAAATTCTCTGGCTACGTTTTTTGTCTTGATCATGTCCTAGAGATGAGTGTCAAAATCCAAGCAATCACTAATGGCTTTAAGTTATGTGAAAATAGAATTAGTGGTTGTTCAGAACCTGTGGCTAAGCCATGAGACTGTACATTACAAATGTTTTTATTTACATCTGGTTAAGACAGATGATTTGTTGTGATTGTAAATAAATTATAACCTCTAAACTTTACTCAACTAAATTTAAATGTACGCTTCCACACTAAAACTTCTTACTGGACAAGACATAACTCAATACTCACCTATAATTTTGCGTCAGAGCCCACCTTAGTAGATCCAATATCTAGAGAAAAAAGAGTAGGAGAACTTTCTTTGTACGTATAGGTACTGTTTAAGAATATTACATACACTACACTTAGCATACTTCTCTAGGTATTCCCCATCTCTTAAAAATCTCTGCATAAGTTAGTTATACTTTCTGAGATGTCTTGATGTCTCCAAAAACAAAAATTTTCAATTGGCCTAACTAAATGTAAACATTTCATAGCAAACCGGTAATACATTTTCTAAGCCCCTGGGTATTTTTATGCTGAACTGTTTAATGTTTGGTCCTTGAAAGTTCAAACATATAAGAGAGGTTGGGGGTAGTGAGGGTTATAACAGCAAATTCCAAACCTAACACATTTATTTTTGCCAGCTACCAACAGCGTGTCTTGAAGTTATCTCATATTCCATAATTATTTACGGCAAAAAAAGTTAACGTCATCAAAATTGCTGATGTAGAGTTGTTTAACATGGATTTATTTCCGTATTACAGTTGTATCTATTTTCATCCTTATTGCACTTAATGTTAAACATAAGCAAGCAGGTTAGACTTTTTTACTTAGGGTCGGGTCGAGTCATGTCGGGTCAAAATTTTGGCCTATTGGGTCTCGTGCTAAAATCAGGTTGCTTTAGAAACCGTAATACAAAAATTGGGTTATGCAATATTGTACATGATCGCCCAATATCCTGGTGAAATCGTGAACATCTTCAGAGGTCACGGCAAAATTTTGAACGTCTTCCTTAGTCTCAACAATATCATCATCGTCCCCCAAAAGACCGTGAATATCACCCTCCATCACGGTGTAATTGTCAATTCGTGGTGAATACGTATCTTCCCAGACGCTTTCTGCAATCCCCAAAAAATAAAAGCTCTGCTTGGTTCAAAGCTGATCTCACTTTTGTTTGATAGGTGTTAGTTGTTCTCATACCTTGACCAACCTAATGTGTAACTTGTATACAGGAACTGGTAGAGATGGTGTTGGTGGCCAAGAGAAGTAACATACAAGACAGTGTAGGTGTTAGGTGTTATCATACCTTGACCAACCTAATGTGTAAGTTGTATACAGGAACTGGTAGAGATGGTGTTGGTGGCCAAGAGAGGTAACATACAAGACAGTGTAGGTGTTAGGTGTTATCATACCTTGACCAACCTAGTGTGTAACTTGTATACAGGAACTGGTAGAGCTGGTGTTGGTGGCCAAGAGAGGTAACATACAAGACAGTGTAGGTGTTAGGTGCTATCATACCTTGACCAACCTAATGTGTAACTTGTATACAGGAACTGGTAGAGATGGTGTTGGTGGCCAAGAGAGGTAACATACAAGACAGTGTAGGTGTTAGTTGTTATCATACCTTGACCAACCTAATGTGTAACTTGTATACAGGAACTGGTAGAGCTGGTGTTGGTGGCCAAGAGAGGTAACATACAAGACAGTGTAGGTGTTAGTTGTTATCATACCTTGACCAACCTAATGTGTAACTTGTATACAGGAACTGGTAGAGATGATCTTGGTGGCCAAGAGAGGTAACGTGAAGACAGTGTAGGTGTTAGGTGTTATCATACCTTGACCAACCTAATGTGTAACTTGTATACAGGAACTGGTAGAGATGGTGTTGGTGGCCAAGAGAGGTAACATACAAGACAGTGGCACTGCTCACCTGGTTGACAGATACGCCCAGCTACTGGCCGCTCAGGGAGAGTTTAACACTGCGCTGGCTTACCTCAGCACTTCACAAGAGGTGGGGTAGTATCTCTTAAGAAGCATATCATGCATTATCCCTTATGAAAAAGTTTAGATATGGCCATATACATTTTTTTTTATCTGGTTATATTTGGTTTTGGACCAAATATAACCAGATATGATCATATATGGAATCCCCCCTATATATGGACATTTTTTAATAAAAAATATATAAATTAATAAAAAAAACAATTAAACATATTTTAACATTAAACAAGCTGCTATACCCGTGCTTTGGAACGGGAAGAAAATGTGACCTAGAGAGCTATTAAAGTAGTGCTGGTGTGTGTTTTAAAATACAGCAACTCTATGATTTAGTTTGAAAACATAAACTGATTTAGAAGCGTAAACCTACTTACTTTCAAACCCCTACTTTTGATGTTAATAGATCCATAAGAATATGACAACATACCTTAGTGTAGCAATAGCATCAATTGCTTCATATTGATGCTTCATGAATTACATGTTTTACCATAATTCATAATTTACATAATTCTTCAATTTAAGTCAAGCCTCTTCACATGTAGCTTACTATATAAATTAAAACATGAAACTTTGAGCAATACTTTACAAAACTTATATTTAACCTCACTTTTAAACCAAACATAACCCTCCTCAATCTACATAAAGCGTCACAAACATCTTATTCAAGTAAATAAACAAACGCCAGTTCATTGTACTGACCAGCTGTTTCATTAACTAAATTAAATTAAATCATTTAAACATTGGAAGCATGCCAGGCGTAGCCCTTTGGAAATCAGCCTGTGGGGCAGAGCCCTTAGGAAATTTGTCCATATCAATACTTTTCAGCAAATCTACACACTCTAAGCTTCATTTTGATGTGCCATATGCCTATATTTTTATTTGGTAAATGACCTTAACCGTTTACATAAAATTTGATTGTATCACTTTAACACATTCGCTGCTGAAACCTTTAAACAGGCGCTCGCCAATGGCGGCGAGTCCCGGGCGGAGCCCCGACACGCTAACTGAATCAGCGATCGCTATTGGTATTGAAATATCTCAGTAAGACGAATCACAAAAGAGCAGTGGTGATTGTTCTGCGTTACTCCGAAAGTGGACGTAGTTCACTGAAACACCCAAAGGTAGCAGCACTGCCTGGATCAATAACCAGAGTCTTTGTAATACGGCTCGAACTGAGAAAATCCCCGAAAACGGGACAAAAGCATTGCCAGACGGGATTTTACGGGTAATTTTTGTACCAACCTACACCAGAATAAAGCTCGCATTATAAGCTACAGGCTGGTAAAGATTACAACGTTCTCCGACAATGGCTGCGCTCACATTGAAACAATAAACATGACATGGCGCGCTCCCCCACCCGTGGACCCCCCGCTCCTCAGCTGAGACCTGGGGGTCCACCGGTGGACCCGCCGCATCGAATGTGTTAATAATATAATAGATGGTATAAACTATGCATTAAAACTATAATAAAAATGTTAAACTCAAAAATTTCAAAACAAAGTTCTCAAGCATCGGACTGGGGATCGAACCCGGGACTCGAGCGTGAGAGTCCGCCCCTTTTAGCCACTACACCACAACCGCTTCATATAAGTTGGCTTACGGAAACCCATTACGAATAAGAGAAGCTGTATTTGGTCTCGTAAACAAGATTTTCTTTGACATTTTATGTAATTTGAAGAATGTTATTATTAATATAGCCTAACTACGTGACATTGATATTTGCGGTTGTTTGATAGTAAAGGTACAATTAATTTATTATTAATATAATATTCTCCTTATTTAGGCCTACCTACTACACTTACAATTTTAAAATTATACGTCAGTTTTAAGATTTTGTTGTGTTATAGTAAAATTGTACAATATATGTATGCACAGGATTTTGTCATCTGGGTTCAAATCTTGATTACTTTACTACTAATTACTTTAAAGGAGAAATGACTATATTATCTGCCCCCCCCCCCCCCCCCCCTACTGTACCACATTTCAACTCAATCAGTTCAGTAGTTTGTGATTGCGAGAGCAACAAGAAAATACAAAAACTCACAAACTTTAAGATTTATAATATTATAAGAAGTGTTTGGGAGTCCAGTGTTACATAATCCAAATGTGGCAACAATTCCTTATAATCATTCCAGTTATTGTCAAAAACTCATTTATACATGAGCATAAATGGAAAATTATTATTCCATATATGAGTAATTGAATTCCATACCTGGGAGTCATGGCCATATATAAACAATAATTCCATATATGGAATATATTTATGGCCATATATGAGCAATAATTTCATATATAGAAAACATGTATGGCCATATATAGACAATAATTTCATATATAGAAAACATGTATGGCCATATATGGCCAATCATTCCATATAGGCTACATATATGGCCATATACAGACACCACCATATATGGATGCAACCACATCTGGCGATATATGCTTCCATATATGGTCATCAAAAACCATATATGGCTTTATAAAAACATATATGGACAGAAATTACTTTTTTATAAGGGATATTACAAGTTTCATTGTACAGTTTAGACTTCCTTTTTAATAACTTTTGTTTTCCTCATTTATTTAAATTGTTTCTCTCAAGAAAATGCACACAAGGGGATTCTATTGAACTTAAATGCTTGTTCAGCTAGAATTTGAAAATGTTTTAAAAAGTCACAAAAATCAGTAGATAAAACAACAAATTGATCGTTAATTTCCTTAACTTAGACATGAATTGCTAGAAAACTAGCTTATCTAGGTGGCTGACAAATAAGACTTTTACTCTACAATAAATTGTTTTAAAATCATTACTATTTCTCTTGTTTATAAGTTTAGTAGTTTTTTTATTGGTAAGCCTTTTTGTATTTCCTATTTCAATTTTATTTATTTATTTGTTATGTATGTTTTTATAGCAAGTTGTTCTAGAGTCATGTTACTCTTTAGTATGTCATTGTTTATTATATTACAATATTAAGTATTGTGTTTAATTGCAATATAATGTTTTTTACAGGAGGAAATTGAGGAACTAAGAGAACGTTTGTATGTAGCAAGTGGACAGAAGCCGTACCCAGTCCCGACAACACAGCGAACCCAGCAGAATTCCTACTATCAAGTAAGGCCTAACATACCTGTTTGAAGTAGGACATTTTCTACAAGTTTTATTAATATTTAAAACAAATTACATTGACATCTTGCTGTTGGGTACCTCATTTCCAATTTTTTCTTATACATGTACAAAAAGTTATCTGCTCTAAGTAAAAAATGCTTTCGGTATATTCATATAAAGTTTTACATAAAAGTAAAACTTATATGAAACTTATATGAACTAATATGAATATACAATGAGGATATTTTACATTGAGCAAATAATGGCACAGGCCATTGGCATTTTGTAAATGGTTTTGTGAGGGGCCAGCCCAAAGATTCATATTTTTAACATTTAACATGGACCATTTGTTAAAAAGGATAATCAATTATTGATAACCTAAAGATTATTGGCATTGGTGTGCTGAATTTATCTCTTTTGGGTTTATTTATTTGAATACACAACTAACTTTTCTAAGAAAAAAGTTACAGGCACTTAACAGCACACGAAACGTTCACAATATAATTTATTATTTAACTGCTACAAGTAACCTTCATTAGAATTATGTTTTCCTGTACAGTATAGGGAGATTATTCAAAGTCCGGTTATCTGAAACATTGGTTAACCAAAACGCCGATCTCTTGCGTAACTGAGACCACAAGATATACTCACGGATGTTGCCTTGATCATTAGAGACGATTACAGTCGTTGCTGGGACTGCAAGATATGCTGACGTGTCGCTACAATCGCATTTGACAACCAAAACTAGTTAAGAATTGCGTACAAAAATAATTATATTTAATTGTTACCAAGCAAAGTTAATATATGTATCTCATTTATACTGTCAGTGACCGATTATAAAGAATCAGATGTCCGATCACTTCCAGTTCCTATTTTTTTATAACCCACTCTCTACTGTAAAATTTTTTATGTGGTGTCGACTGCCTAAAACTCTTTTCATGGATAAGTTAATTGTGTTTCCATTTCTTCTTTTTTAATTTATTCTTAAGCCAAGTGCTCTTTACTCAAAAACTAAATGTTTACTTTTGTTATTCTTTATTTTTATTTGTTTATAATTTTAATTTGTGGTTTCAGAACACGGCACCATCAGGGTATGCTAATAGCTACGGGAAACAAATGAATCAAACAAAGCAGCCAACGCCTTTCAACCAGCCGTCGTCCTGTTTCCCTCCAGCCAACCAGCAGACTCGGTCATCTTCCATCCCCTCCATCACTCCTCCTCGAAAGCCCTCCATCAGCAACCCTCTGATACAGAACACTGTGCCTTCCTCTTCTGCTAACTACACACCATCCTCCATGTTCCCCACCCAGCCTCAAGCTCCTCCTGCTAATTTCTCCACCTCCTCTGCCTTCGCCCCTCCGTCGACACAGAAACCCTTCCAGCCTCCGCCGACGTCTCGTACTCCTGTCCACTTCAACTCTGAACCACCCCCCGCCAACGCTGTACCTCCATCCACGTTCTCTCATAGGAGTAGTCCCAGCCCATCTTTAGCAGGTAAGGTTTTATTTAAGATTGAGAAAGGTAAAGTTTCTTAATCATCAGCTTTGCAGTGTATGAAATCATAAAATTATCGTAAAATAGCATAGTTCAATATTAGCTCACAAATTGATATGATAAGTACTAGGGTCAATATAACAAATGACATATTTTATATATAGATATATATTTTAATGTCACTGACAGCATTTTCAGCCAATAAGATTTTACTTGGAAAACTCCTTTACAGGTTAGCCGGCTATCAAAAATAAATCCTAAAAATGCAGTCACTTGTGTCCCTACTTACATCAGCTGTGTTGATTGTATTGCAGGAGGGCGCAAGTACGTTGTGGACCCCTCAGTAGCAGGTGCAGGCGCAGGCTACGGTCGGACAGCAACATTCAACAGCAACCCGTACAGTCAACCGTCTCAACCTTTCAACCCACCACCTTCTCAGATCTTCAACCCTCCACCATCACAGTCCTTCAACCAAACTTCATCTCAATCGTTTAATCCGCCCAACTCTCAACCATTCAATCCTCCGCCTTCTCAATCATTCAATGCACCACCTTCTCAACCGTTTAACCCTCCGCCTTCTCAATCATTCAACGCACCACCTTCTCAACCGTTTAACCCTCCACCTACTCAATCATTCAACCAGCCCAACCCTCAACTATTCAACCCACCTTCGTCCCAACCATACAATCCTCAAGCCTCACAACCTTTTAATCCTCCCCCCTCTCAGCCCTTTAACTCTCAATCCTACAATAGTCAGAGTTCTGACATGTTCAACCCACCGGGAGCTCCACCACCAATGTTCAATCATCCAGGTTAGAGCTCTAGTTATAATATAAGCAGATAACAAAAAGTTGATACTTTTCCTTAAAATATTCCAGCATTGGATATGTATGTGAAATTGGCCTACAATAACAAAACTTAAAATTTTGTTTTCTTCATTGAATATCCATTGATTAGCCAACCTAAGTAAGTACTATAGTTCGGCCGCTTAGAAAACGACCTGCGCGCTAATGCTAAACCAATGCTAGAGGAGGTCGCTTTCTAAGCGGCCGAACTATAGCCTTGTAATATGGATATTAGGAGTAAATAAAATTGTGATTCTCTCCTATCTATCCTGAATAAAATGCTATTAAAATTTACCCTCTGCAGTTTGTGCACGCATAATGGGAGAAAATACCCACATACAAATAATATAGTATTACACATACCCTACGTAATGTAAAATTCTAGTTATAAATGTTGGTTATGTTTCAGAGCCAAAGTTGCCGCAGCAGTTTGTTCCTCAGACTTCTGCTGCCCCTGGCTGGAATGACCCTCCTACTCTGACCGCCTCCAAGAGAGCTCAGGTATACATCTGCTGTCACTAGTTGTCTAGGTTAGAGCTGATTTGTAGGTCCCAAGACAAAAATGTATCTTAACTGTACAAAATACCTCTGTAATTTTTATTGTTTGTGCCAGTGGCATTTACTACTAACGCTCTTAAGCGAAAGTACAGGTCAAACCCCTAAAATTTCTGTGGATATGCTGTGGGGATTTCCTTAATAATTCAAGGGTTGTTCGTGGATCAATGTCTCCATTGAGCTCCTGTCGTAGTCAAGCTAGATCAAATTCGAGACCAACTTCGTGTTTTTTTTTGTTTTTTTTTACGCCAGTGGCATTTCACAAGAGAAGTTACGAGAGATTAAATGTTTAGTGGATGTGCCGGGGATCGAACCCGTCCCTCCCGCACCGAAGTCCAAGACGCTAACCACTAGGCTAGCAACACAACCCACTTCCTTACTTTATACGCTATTATTCTAGCCGGTTCCCGCCCCTATGGGACGATTAGTCTTGTCATATAGTATTTAAAATTTTGTAAAAGAAAATTGACGCTCCCGCCAACTATGATTTGTGGGTTTTACTCACCTTAATTTTTTTCTAGTGATATCCAGGACTAGTCATAAACACACATACACTATATACATCACACGCAAATCATCCATGGAATCAAAGTCTGACATTTTGCGGAACTCGAAAAAAGTCTGCTTCCGACTCAGTCATGACTAGGAGTTCGACCCATGTGGTGCATAAAAATAGTTTTTTCCTATCCTGAGGAAGCTGGACGTTTTTGAGTCCCACGAAAAATCGGACTTTGGTTCCATGGACGATTGCGTAGGATGGGTGTGTGGGTTTTTATGACGAGTTTTGGATATCACTAGACAAAAATAATGGTGAGTGAAGCCCACAAACAATCTTTATTAATTAACAACAACTCACTTAAAAGTGTTTAATTTAAAAGCTGAATCGCGTTCTATGATTAGGTTTCTCTTGGAAGGGGGTTAATCTTGGTGGGTTACTGTTCCCAGTCGACAGATGTATATTGTGTACGGTATGCAGAAAAGTGTTATGACGTAGAAAATGTGCAATAGTGGATTAGGGAGCTTGCAGAAGGCTGTACACTTTTGCACAATGTGACCAGCATCAGGTAATCATCAGATTCCATCGAGATGGTAATTGTAATGGGGGAAACTTTGCTTGCTGATCGAGGTTTTTCAGAGTTTTAGGGCTGGCTGTAGTCCTTAATATTCTTATTGAAACATCCTCTATTAGTTAAAAGATACCTTTAGTTCAGTCACATGGTAATCAGAATGCCAAGTCCACATGAATTTGCTCTCTGCTTCAAACAAAACCGATAAACAACCACAGTCGATCTCTGCCATGGACAACATCTTGCAGATGTCTAAGAACACCTCCAAACTCCCTCCACCCCTTAAAACAAATTTGATATGATTATGATAGGACTTATACTTGGCGGGAGTGTTAATATTTTTGTTTACGTCTTAGAATACTTTCTAAGATTAAGACTAATCGTCCGGCAAGAGAGGGAACTAGCTAGATGAAGTGGAAGAAGTAAAGAACATGACAGTGGTCTCAGATTTGATCTACCTCGCTTTGCTGCGACAGGAGCTTGATGGGGGACCTAACCCTCGTATAAACAATTTATGAATTAAGTAAGTTGAGAAAATATTGTGTGGTGCAGCAGGCGGTGTCGGGCATGTCTGCCGAACACGCCGGCACCCGACGCTGGGGAAAGATGTTGAGTCACTCCAAGGTATTGCGTGGCTGCATGCAACCACCACACTCACACACAACCTTCCCCACTTTGTTTTCATGAAGAAATATATGTATCACTGAATTTAAATGTATTATTGATTAACTGATCTGCTCAGTGATCTGTGTTTTTTTTTTAGTACACTATCATAGTTTCACATTTCTTTCTACGGCCACAAATATATAGGTACAGTGGCAGAAGATGATTCATGACAAAAGTTGACTATGCCACCAGATAATTGTATACATTTGAGACTCATTATTGTGTCACTGTCACTGCATGCGTCCTAACTCCTAATACTTGTACTGACCAGTTTTGATTTGTTTGATGCTTTTTTCATCTTTTTCACAAGTTTTATTTGTTCTACTTTAAACTCTTTGGACAGATAATCCTACATTAGCCAGATGACATATCTCTTTGATGTTTCTATTTACACTTGAGAATGGAGTAATGTACTAAACTCACAAAAATCTTCAGGGTAATCCAAACCATCATCGACAAACTCTGTTAGGTTTTATTTTTAAAACATTCAACTAGATCACAGTATTTGGACACAATTTGACATAATATGTTGGAACCTTTCCTTAATCTTTAGATACATATTCACTTCTGTCTGTAGGTATTTATTTGCTTAAGAATTTCAGTGAAAATTTGATATGTTATAGCAGATTAAAACGACACATTATCACAGCCTCGTTACATTGACGTTTTTGGTGTTTTCAGAGTATATTGTGTGTGAAATAATATCAAAATTTGAGTGTTTCATTTGAAGCACTTATGTTGCACCTTTTTGGTTTATGGAAGATTACAGTTTTAAAAGGCAATGCAGTCATTAATTACATGATAAAACCCTACAAACTATTGAAAAATGGCTTGTCTTGTAAGTTCACTATGAAGTTAGGTAGACTCCCCATTGTCCAGACTTCGGGACCGAGTTATGTCTAATATTAAAACAAGTCCAAACCAGAACAAAGTGGTCCAAATGTGTGAGTCCTATTATGGTGGTAGCCCTTGCCATCTGAAGTCCAAAGCATGCTAATCTGATTTAGAGGGAATCCACTGTACCATTTATACATTTGTTCGGTTATTTTTAATTTATTAGAGGTTTTGTATCATGCCATGCTCATGCAATCTACTTTTTAAACCTAATGTTTAAAAGCTAAATTTCTATCCAACCCATTTATTAACATATTAATTTGCTTTGTAGTGTGCTGAATGAAAACTTTGACGATTTATTTGTTGCTGTTCTGTTCTTACTAACTCGTTCAACTTCAATCTGTAGTAGCCAATCTATTACATATATTACGTACAAAAAAAATGTCATTCAGTTACAGTATTACTTGGTGAAATGTATAACACTATAATTACTGATAAGGTGTCTAATTAATTATCCAGATCAAAATAATAAAACAACTATTATCTTCTTCAATGAGGTCAGTTGTAATCAAGCACAGTTAATAGTAATACTAATACTGTAGTACTGTCGTTATTGTAAGTAAAAAGTGGTTGAAATAAAACTGATTAAGGTACATTTACTTTTCTCTTTGAGCTCCAATGATTATTCATGTATTGAACTATACCTATTTTAATATCTTTACATTAGCTTGTCAGTAACTACATACTTGATTTTGTAAACAATTTATGCTCCTTTCACACTATACGATTTCGCTCGTGCGGTTATTAATCGTATTTGTTGTAACGCATTGGAGTTTATGGCCCCTTTCACATTATACGATTACCAACCGTGTACGATTTTCACCCGCGTAGCGACCGTAGGTGCACACGGTTGGTATCCGACTCCCGCACGAGTAAAAATCGTGTCTACTGCTAGTGGCCATGTGACCATATGGCCCCTTTCACACTACACGATTGTAGTCGTGCGGGAGCCCTCCCCAAGTGCAGTTTGTTGCGTGGTTTTCAGATATTTTGCGTTTACAGTTGTTTAATTGTTTAATTATTGAGTTGAACTACCTGTGCATACTGTATTTTATTATTTAGTTTTTGTTATTAATTACAGTTTTGTCTATATAGTTAAAATTATGAATGTGATTGATCTTGAAGCTTTAAACGATTCTCTTTAAATCCGAAAATAGTTGAAAAACTTTTCTTCGTCATTTCTCAGGTCTTGAAATAATGTTTTAAACATCCCCACTTCCTCACGTCTCAAATTTATTAATACGACTATTATTAAATTTATTTTTCTCCGATAAATTATCAAAGTAGCAATAATTTGCTCGCGATCCATACTACTTAAAACTTTCCACTGAAATGTCAATGAACTCTGTTCTAGTGGGGTGGGGGTTAAGATTTTTTTAATCGTACGATTACAAATCGTATAGTGTGAAAGCAACAGACCCGCGATCATCTGCCCGTACGATTAACCCTCGTACGAGCGAAATCGTATAGTGTGAAAGGAGCGTTAGGAGCCAGGTACATACAGTGATAATCAAAAGAAGGAAAATACCTAATTGTGGTGAAACTGAAGGAATTAATTAATTAATTACTTCAACTTTCATTTTAGCCTTCCACTGTTTATTTTAGGTGGGCCTCTGTCACAGACAGTTGAAATCCTCATGAGTTTCACACTAACGCCAGACCTGACCAAGGTAGGAGTCAAACTTAAAATATACAGTGTCGTCTCTTGGTCAGGGAGGCTATGCCTGAGACTATTGATTAGACCTCATGGTCTGTCGCCCTAACAACACTCCTTAAGCCCAAGTCCAAGCCCAATTGTTGGAAACTTGACTCCCAGATCACCCGGTTTTGTTGAGATATACTCGCATAGATCTTTTTACGTAAGTGGAAGTTTGGTCATTTTAATCTTGATATCCGACTAATCAGTCTTTGGAGCTCAAAGGATGAAGTATACCTTCATCTGTACCTGATATACCTGATGTATCAATTTGGAACAAGTCATGTTGACTTGTTAACCTTGATCGTAATGCTAGAAGTGTTATGTAGAAAGCTTTAAACTTTTGTTTGTCGGGTGTTTCAGCCCAAGGAGGTACACCAGCCGCCGCCCATCACTCACCCCCTGTTTGCGACAGCTCCGCAGGACGTTCCGTTACAGGTAGGCTTACAAAACTGATCGTAAATAATAAACCACAGCCGGCTGTCTACTTTCGAAGCACTTAAGAAGGGACGCTGATTTGTATATAGATGTTCCTTAGCACAATACCTCGGATAAAAATCATCCAATTTAGAATACATTTCGTACAAATGTACCCACGTTTATTCAAACAAGTTCAGGAAGCAGTATGATCAGACCATGGGAATAGGGTTTTGTAGGGTGAAAATAGGGTTTTCTCGTTTTAGACTCTCAACACATAAAATTTCTAAATTTATCTCTAACACATTTTGAATAACTTAAAAAACCAATAATTAGTTTATTGAGGTGTTTTTGTAGGATTATTGGTTACAGAGAAAATTCACAAACTTGTAAATTTAAAATTCCCATTTTATTTTTATGGAGGTCAACTGTTATAGTTTGCTTGTTTATAGATAACTTATCTTTTGATTAAATTTGGTACATTTATTTTTTATGTATGTACTATTAATATTTTACTAAAAACACTCTTTATTAAGTTTCAAAATAAAATTTTATAACTGTCGGCCAAATACTGAATCTTGACCCGCAAGTCAAAATCAAGTTGTTTCTTAAACATTTTTTCTGTTGTCAAATAATGGGAAATCATTAGTATAAATTTCTCCAGGGTCCACCTCCACCAATGCAGGGTATGGGTATGCAGAGTATGGGTATGCAGCCCCCAAGCATGGATGGTGTCCCACAGCAGCAGGGGTATGGCTATCCCCCCGCACCTGCCCCCGTAATGGCTGCTCAACCACCCGCTCCAGTGGCCAAAGTGGCTGAACCCCCTCGGCCGAAACCCCCACTACCTGAGGAGCACATGTACTTGCAGACAGTGTTCGAGGAGCTGCGTAACCGATGCACGTGTGCCGCCAACAACCCGGTGAGTTACTTTTTGTCTCTTTGAACAGTCAGTATAATAGACGCTCGCTAATCTGGCATGTTCAGGACATTGGGGGTGATTGGTTACTGAAATGTGGGATTACGAAGAGTCTTATAAAAACAGCTGTTGTTGCAAAACGAGCAAAGTACCACTAATATACACATGAATTCAGATCGCTGAAGACATCTGCCAACTTCCATCTCTTGAGATCCCACTCCATTCTACAAAAAAAAATTATTTAATCCTCTCATTTAACGTATGTATAGAAGTTACAGTAAGTATTGTATGATTAAAAATTAGTGCAAAAAAAGAAAATATTATTTTACATTAGCAGACTTTGTCAGTGGCTCTAATTATTATTTTTTTAAATTCTTAAACTAACTAAACCTATGACAAGGGAATGATTACCCAACAGTCGTGTATTTTGTAATTGTACTTAAACGTCAAATATATCCCTACTTATTCAACAGTTTGTTTTGAAGGAGGTTCTCTCATAAATTTAAAATACTAAGACCTCATACATGTTTTTCTTTTTTGAAAGAGGTCTTCTTTATTTTTTGGGGGATTTTTGAGCCAGCTAATAGCCTAATTAACTATTTTATATATTACAGTTTTTTAACTTTTACAAATATTTGAAGGAGATATTAGGAGATAGATTTTTATTGAAACATAATGTATTGACTGGCTAAAAGATTTAAAAGCATTTTAATTAATGTTTGAAATGTGAAAGCATTGTTAACTGCAGCGTTGTTAAAAGAAATTATTTTTTTAGCAACTTAAAAGGAAACTTGAGGATGTCGCAAGAAAATTGGAAGTGCTTTACGATGCACTACGGGAAAATAAGGTAAGCCTAATCAGTAAGTTTCATTTTACTTTACTTATTTGTAGGGTCTGAACATTTGTAATATACACTTTCCACAACTTATGATTGGTAAACTTTTTTACCACATTTCTTTAGTGCCAGCTTGAATGTCATTATGCTCATTTATGTCGTAAAATGTATTTTCAAAATTATTGTGGCACATGTAGTACACAAGATTTAAGATTTTATTTCTCATTAGGTGTCCAAAGATGATGCTTTGTGTTCTATTTCTAATACAAAAATATTAAACACACATCTTGTTTCAACAAACTCTATTTCCAATAGGGGTCTGCGGGTCAGACTTTTTTGGTTCGGGTCGGGTCGGGTCGGGCCAATAATTTTGGTCCTCGGGTTTCGGGCCAAAATCGGGTCGGGCCAAAAATTATTAATTACCAGATTTTTTTTCTTTTTTTAACTCCTATCTGTGTTTATAATATTACTTAAAAATAACATATGAAAAACGGTTGTATTTATGTATATTATTTCATGTTCATAACTTATTTACAGCTTAGGAGTTGCCTCAACTGCAAGAAAGAAGAAAATAATTTTTTTTATCAAGCCATTCTTTCCCATTTTCATAACTGTTGAAATATCTAAACAGCTATATTACAACAAGTTTGTAATGGAACTTAATATAAAAGGATCATAAACAAATCAATTAACCTTATCTCAAGTTTAGGGCCTGTGGACTGGCTTAAAGACTGCAAGCAAGAAGAAAATAAAAATTCTATGTTTCCACCATGCAATATGAATCATTCATTCCCTGCCTCCTAACCTCCTAAGTATAAAAACCTCACACTTACAATAGCATTATTAGTTACATCATCATAAATAAAGAATTATTTATTATTGGCATTACTAGGCCTACAGCTTTACATAGGAATTATTTTTTACAGGGCCTAAAATAGTAATAGACTAAGCAACATGACAAGTGGAGAACTCATTGAAGAAAAGATTGTGTGTAAACTAATTCACTTTAAAAACTCTAAAACAGTAAATAACACACATACATTGTTTATGGTATAGTTAGTTATAGTAAAGACTGTAAAAATTGCATATATCATGTCATACACAGTTATAGACCTACGGTATTGCAAGAGATTAAAATCCTAAAACAACTGATTTTAGCTAATAAATGAAAAGAATTAAAAATCCATAAACTCGTCAAACAATATCACAATTATTAGGTACCTGAAAAGGAACTCTTAATATATAGAAAATTATATTAAATCAAGATAAAAGAAAGTTAAATGCTAATTTGGCAACATAAGCAGACAGCAGAGACATTATAGTGTCCTAATTAGCAACACAACTCAATGTTTTTATACTGTAAGTCGATGTTTTTGAAACTGTAGGGTCTTTTTCTCGGAAGGAAGGGGGAAGGGTAGTAGAATGTAAACAAAAAACCATGAATCACTCTCACAGCCGGGCCCGGGGACACTCAAGATTACAGACCCTCCCCCTCCCCTCCCCGCCCCTCTTACACAACCAGAGCCAGGCCCGGGGACACTCAAGGTCATAGACCCTCCCCCTCCCCCACCCCTATTACACCACCCGATTGTTCCAATTGCTGACAAAATGCAAGTAACGAAACAAGGAAGTAGAGACAAAAAGATATATTTTCTTTATTCAAAAATATAAAACTGTTACAGATAATTTCCAAAGAAATTAATTCATGGTAGTTTGTGTCTTGTAAATATTGTATTAGATCTTAGAAATATCTTTTTTGAAACTCAATCTAACTTAAGAAAAACATAATTTTACTGATAAAAACTTTCATAAAATTATAAAATATTTAGGCCTAACCTCTTTGTAGACTTGCTGATACTTGATACTTAAAAAAAATTAAATGGTGACCATACAATGCCGAACCAGACGATCAGAAGTGTTGTTTTGTTTTGTTACTGAATGACAAAAAGGACACAGGAAAATAAAAGAACAAGATACAGATCTGTACACTATATCAGATATTTCTTTTGTTTATAATTTATTATGTAAATAAAATACTAAAATATATTTTAAACTAGGTATGGAATAAACAATAAATAATTAAACTGGTACCTCTGGATAAATAGTCTTTCTTTTGACTTCATTTTCTTTGCACTGTTGCGTCACGGCTTTTGTTTTGTCAGTAGACGACTGGCTCTGGCTAGTGACAGTACGGCATTTGCTCTGTTGTGTCTTTGTTCTTAAACGTGAGCAAACTTAATATTTAATTATAATTTTAACGTTTTAATTCCTCTGTAATAATATATATAAGAGTGTTTCTTTGAAAATTACTTATTATAACTTTGAAAATAATATTTTTTTTTTTGGCCCGACCCGATCTTGGCCCGAAAAAATCTCTGACCCGACCCGGTCTCTCGGGCCTTCCGCTGGCCCGACCCGACCCGAAAAAATCGGGGACCCGCAGACCCCTAATTTCCAACTAAACTAATGTTTACCAAAACATGTTTACAAAAATCATCTGTCAACAAAAGATATTTAAACACAAATAAATCATATGACTAAAAGAACATACTTAATACAACATCCCGCCTCAAGATGTCTACATCTTCATGAAGCTCGGTACCGCCTCGGTATCTTGATGGACCTTCCGTAATGGGTAACTGTGCCAGCGTCTGGACGATCACGTGAGTTAGATGGACAATTAAGGACCGTAGATGAACAGTTTGAAAGAATGCAATCTTCTTCGTAGTATGGTGCAGGAACTAAGAACGTCTGGTTTCGTCGAATGGTTTTCTTGTCAATGTCCACAAGGTAGGAACGTGGTTCGTTCAATTTCCTGACTACTTTACCATGTCTACGTAGATCTGTGATCCATACCATGCTTCCCTCTTCTAATTCACTTAAACCCCTCGTTCCATGTCGTTTATCAAATTGCATCTTATACTTCGACTGGTACTTATTCTCACTCTCAAAAAAGTCTTTATTTTCCACAGGATTTCCAACCAAAGTAGATGGAAGATTGTCTCTTATTTTCCCTCCAAACATAAGTTCTGGAATCAATGGTTCACTGTGATTAGTTGAGTTCTGAATACACACTGGACACGATTTGCTTTTTCTTTCTATTTCTTGAGAAATTCCAGGCCACCACATGGTTTCCAAAGCACGTTTCCTTGTTTTTGTGATTCCCAAGTGTCCACTGTGAAGCCTCTCAAGCATTTCCGCTCGTAGTTCATGAGGTATTATCATCCGAGTTCCTCGAAGCAATAACCCATCAATACAACTTAATACAACACTTTGACATCATCAATTATTTTGTTTGATAATTAAATAATAAACTCACAAGGGTGACAGTGTGCAAATTATTCTAGCTGGAAAAGTAAAAGAAATTCAAACTATTGAAGTAGTTGTTGGTCGAATTTTATTTTGTGACTCCTGTTTTCCTTCAAATTTGTGCAAAATTAATGCTGGTTTAGTATTATTTTCTGCATTTTGCTCCTCAAAATTTTTGATAGGCTTACGAGCCTGATGGATTTTAAAATATCAGACCTATATGTTAGCTGGGTTGTTGATCTACCTTTGTGAAACTATTAGACTGGTTAATTTAGTAATTTTAGCGTGCACCAGAAATAAACACTTAGACAATCTAGCAAAACCTCCTCTTCTTTTCAATGAAGATATTAATGAGTTTGCTTGTTCAGATGTCCAGTACGACGGTGGGCAGCCTCCACCAGCTGGTACAGATGGTCCAGAACGGAGACTATACCGGAGCTCTACATCTCCACACACAACTAGTCTCCGGGCCTGACTTCTCACAGATCTCCTCGTTCATGCCTGGTCTTAAGGTGCTCATACAGTCGGCCTTGCAGCTCGGAGTGTATCTACAATAGTATTATCATCATTCTTATTATTGTTGTATTGTATAGCATTATGTAATCATTTGTAAATTAATAAAGATATTTTATTGATTTTGTCATATTGATCTAGTGTATGGTAAAACTTTAATAATCCAGATCAATTGGGAACAGACCCCATACAAATGATTAAAATCCTGTTAGATTGTTTTAAAGAAAAAAGCATTACCTTTCATAAGTCAGTGGTGGTATGCAGATGAACCATCGTCCATAGATTGATTTGACATTATAATAGACGGCTGTATGTTGAACACAATTGGCACACAATGCGTTATGGATTTACTGCAAACTGCAAAAAAAACTACAATAACTACATTTTTTGGTTAATTTCATTGTTTTTCTCCTTCAGTGGATCCAGATAATTGGATGATGGATTCAGATGATTTAGGTTAAAGGTTATACTGTACTTGTGAAATTGTGATTTGAAAAAAATCTTAACCCTTCCAGGGCTATGGACGGATATTTTCGTCAATTTTTCTGGGCTGAAAACGGATATATCCGTCAATTTTTCTGGGCTGAAAACGGATATATCCGTCCCGAGAAATTTCTTTTCTAGGATAATGACGGATATATCCGTCCAAAAACAATTTGATATACAATGTTTATAATATGGTAATAAACATAACACTGCATTAAAAATGGGTTATTTTGTTTTTGTGGTTGGCAATAATAATTGCCGCAGCTGTTTCGGCTATTTTGCACCTTAGAGTGTGCGTAAGTAAATATTGCTGTATGTTATATAATAAGTAATATATTTTTATGTTATTGAGATAAAGTTACTAATGCAAACAATCTGAAATTTGAAGATGTTATTGAGATGCTTAATAAAAGTATGTCTGAGAGGGGTTTTATACTTGGCAGTGAAAATAGTAGTATGGAATGTGATGGATATGATGAACCTGAAGAACAGTCTTTACGTAGTAGAAATCTTGGCGGGTAATGGGATTGAGGACATGGGAGCGGAACTAAATGGTTTAGATTTACTTCAGAATGATAGATACATTTGTATAGATAAAAAATAAAACAAGGGAAAGAATAGTCTAAGTTGACGGATATATCCGTCCACCTTATGTTTTTTGTGGGCCAAAGATGGATATATACGTCAAATCAAATTTTATTTTCTTCATAACTTTTGTACAAAAATTAGTTCAGCCCTATGGAAAATCTTTTTATGATCCATGAATTATTTCAAGTGAAATAAATACAAAACACAACCACTTTAGTTTTTAATTTTTGGCAAAAAATAATTAAGCTTCAGCCCTTCATTTAATTTAGCCCTGGAAGGGTTAAGCCTATTTGCTTGATTGGCCAGTCGTATTGGCTATATCACTTAGATGTAAACATCATGAAATTGTCACAACATCAGCTGGCTGTCTCAGCTCCACTGGCCGTCTTTTACTGTACTCAGCAAATTAGCCCAGAATTTATTTTTTAGTATAACACGTTCGCTACCGATCGCCACATATATGCGAAGCTGCGATCATTGCCACAGACAGAGGTATATATTTTAATTAACTGGTATTTTAATTATCGTCCTAACAGGATCAGCCTATAGGGTCTAGCTATACCAGAGCATATACTAGAGGACGTTTTATTGTTTACTATTTGTTTCTGATAAACTGACGACTTTCCTTCGTTGGTAGAGTAAAGCAAAAATCTTAAAGCTTAAAAAAAATAGAGAAACCCCATTTAATAGAATGTAATGTTAAACGTGACAAGAAACTCATAAAAACAAGCTTTTTATTTTACAACTAGTTAATGTATGGGAATATTCATTGTCAGCAATAAGAGACTTAATAATTAACAGATACTGTTTATCTTTGTATTTTATTTAGGGACAGCTTATTTTTTTACATGAAATAGAACTAGTACCACTCATGGTAAAACATTGTGTTTACCAACTGATAGTTGGCCTGTATAAACTATATCTATGTTATCAAACCCATTTATCTAAGTTAATAATATTTTACTAAAAAACTGACTTTTTACCCTCCCTGTAGCAGCAAGCCTAGGTACTCATAAAACCTAATGTAATTAAATACATTTAATTGAAAATAAATTCAAGAAAATGGAAATTCGCTTAGTCGGTAGGTTTGCTGCGGGGGTATTTTTTATTACATTCGTAGTATGGAATAAAGATAGTCACACATCAGCACTTGGTCTCATCTTTGACCCATTCTGTGAGTAACAGTTGTGTTAGTCGTATATTATAAAATTTATAGTTTCAAACATGTTTAAACATTATACATTACTGTAATAGCTAGTCAATGGTAATATTGGTAATACTGTAGTCAATGATTGTATGCAGGAGAGAGAACAAAGGAATGCTCTGTGTTTGTGATGTGCTGCTGACTAGCGACCAACTCTGGAACTACATTTACATCAGCTGATCAATGTGTTGTCGTGCAACAGTCAAACTAGAGACAAAGAAAGGATTTGGTTTCTGAAAGCAACACTATTTTTTAGCAGCTGAGAGTTTTATTTTCATATGCTACCAGAAAATGACCCATATCAGTTTTAAAATGAAGCTGTTTTATGCTCATTCAATAATAAAGTGCATACAGCGAAGTGGTCGGTTTTTCACGTTTTGCACCGTTTCAGTATGTAGTCAACTATTTTTATCTTCAAAACACACTTTTGAAACTTATTCCTTTTAAAAGGCTTTACCATTTTATTTAAAGGGTATCCAAACTTACATCGGAATACCACTTACATCATTATCCTAGTTATATTTAAATTAATTGGCACTTTTAATTACCCGGACGAGTTGAAACCATCGATGTATAAAACTAACAGTTAGTTTTTTAGTCGATGGTTGAAAAGTACTCCTTATCATTGAGGATTTTAATCCCGTAGGTTTGTAGCTCTTAATTTTAGCACCCTAAAGATTTAAAATGTAATGAATAACTTGGTGAAATATCTGATGAACAGACCATCGATGATTACACGATTAACTTAGTAAAATCTATCATTTGAAACTTACTCCATCAGAAACATTCAGGAACTCCAACTTTAAATTTACTTAGGCAAAAATATATCGTTTCGATGTCTTGAGATACTGAGATACATTTGTATTGCTTGTTTCATGTTTTACGTAAACTCGAGTATATTAAAAAACTATATAATATTGTCAAATACTTAAAAAATGTGCTTGGTATGATTTTTTTTAACAAATAACTGACTTTGAGAGAACATGGTAGAAAAAGGAAGGATCATGAGGTCCTAAGTTCACCTCAATAAAGAAGTATTTTCATTTCATTTCAAGCTGTAGCCAGTGTAATGCCTCTGAAGTGTGGGCTACTGCAAATTATTCTTTTTTTTCTTTTTTTATGCTAGCTTTTTTACTAATTGCGACTTTTAGTAGGTTTCAAATCTTAATTCCAATGTAAAATTGCAAGAACCCTTTTACTTTTCAAAGATCTAGATCCACACCAAGAGTGATTTACCTACTTCAATCAGGCTGCAATAATTATCAAATACCCCCGCCGCAGCAAACCTGCAGACTAAGCGAATTTCCATTTGACTGATTGGATTTACACTGAAATGTCTACTTAAAAATATAACATTTATTCCCGATTTAAATAGAATTAGTTTAACAAGTACTTAGGTGTGCTGCATCAGGGAGGGTAAAACTGTTTTTTTTTTTTGTAAAATGTTAATAGTTAGTAAGAAATAAAAACATTTTCCAAATTCGATCAAAATATGTTCATAAACAAGCAAACTACAACAGTTTACTTATTCTCCATAAGAATAACATGGGAATTTTAAATTTACAATTTTTTTGAATTTTCTCCGTAACCATTAGGCGCATAACAACGCTTCAATATACTAAATTATTTGTTTTTTTAAGCTCTACAAAATGGTTTGGAAATAAATTGCTAAATTTTTTTGTTTTTTTTGGGTCAAAAATGGGAAAAACCTATTTTTACCCCATAAAACCCCCCGTAAACACCCGTTCCATGGTCCGATCATGCTGGATCGCGAACTCGTTCGAATAAACGTAGGTTTACACGTTTTTACAAAATTTCGTCAAAATCGGATCATTTTTGTTCGAGTTATCGTGCTGACGGACACATATATATATATATATATGAATTTGAACGGATGGTGTTTTTGGCCTTTAAGGACCTCAAAACGAAAAAAAAATCGGTCACGCGTCCAGGTCTTACCATGAGTACTACGGTAATAGCTTATTCCCTATATGGGAAGTTCGCTAAAAAATAGCCTATTTAAAATCAATTTACATAAAATGTCTCGCCTCTCTCTTGTTTACAAATGAAATCTGACCGTGATGAAACATTCAACTGAATGATCAGCTGTTGATTACAATTCTTATGATTTAATTCTTATGATTCAATTCTTGATTTCAATTCTTATTTGTACAATCATAAAGAAAGTTAGTCAGCAACACTGGATCTTTGAAAGTGAATTCTGGAAATATTTGGGGCCCACCTTTTACGTTGCCATTTGTAGGTGCGCTGATCATACGACATCTCTAGTGAAAATCGGTTAATTAGGACGTCTGGAAAAGGCCGACAGAGAAACCTCTTATTATATTGAGTATATAGAATATATAGATATAGTCAAAGATATAATTTGAATTCTCCAACACTGGTGTTGTGGTTGCTTGAGTTATCCATGCTCTAACGGACTGATTTACTACTACTCAATAAAAACCAACACTACCCTAGCAACGGACTTCAAAGGAACTAACCGTCTTCAACTGCTACCAACAGCGTCATATCTTCGTCTGATGTCGCGATAAAGTTCCCGCTCGCTTAAAAACCTCAAATGACACAAAAATAAAACCCGACTGATGCCTTCCTGACCATTTACACTCCAGTCAGAACAAAAAGCCTACCAGGGGCCTGGAGCCCAAATTGGGGTCATTAAGAAGATTGCGTCTGCCTGCTACTGGTTTTGAACCTACTCTGGGAGCAGACGATTTTTTGAATTATGCATTAGAACAAGAGAGTCTTCTTTTTGGGCCCTTGCACTACGAGGCTATTAGAAACTTGATGATAGAAATCTGGCTACTGTAAGATTAACGTGTATTGCATTTGTAGTG